GCACTAGAGCATGAGATATATGGCATAGGCTATAATTTAAGGAAGTTTCTCTCAATTACTTCATGTGAAAGGGAGAGAAATATGAAGGGAGAAGGCACTGGAGCGTTAGAGTTCATAGTGTTTCTTTTTCAACAAAGTGAACTATCCCTATATCTTTAAAAGTATTACATAGAATATGTAAAAAAAAGAACAGAAAACTTTAAAATATCCAAATGATCAAAAGAAAAGGAGGTAAAATAATTGGGTAGAATGTGCTTATGATGTAATACTAAATGCAGGAAACAGGAAAAAAAGAGAACCCCAACCTTTTCTGTAATACCAACTGTTATGAATATAAATATAAATAGGAAAAAATCAGGAAGGATACCTAGATGCAAAGACCTCATTCTGGGAAGGGGAAGGGAAGAGGTAGGATGATGGTAATTGTTCTGCTCCTGGCTATCCACCCCTGGATATCCACCTCCACTTGTGGCCGGTGTCCCTGATGGTGTCCCTTGGTTTCACTGTTCCATTTCTCTTCCTCCTTTCCCATAGTCAGCTCCTATCATGAATTTATGAGTGTATCTAATTTGCATATCCTTATAGTTGAACTACAAACTCATACATCTGTTAAAGATAAAATGTTTTAAATTTTTATATAAATGTCACCTGACTCGATCCTTCCTCGCTTGTTTTTTAACAAAGCTATTTCCTCTTCTGTGTTGATGTAAGTAAGTCTAGTTTATTCACTAACGTTGCTATGTTGTATTTCATCCAATGCACATGTGACCATCTCCTATGTATTCCTTTACTAAGGGACAGGAGGCTGTATTAAATTTTCACCATGTTAAACCATGCTGCAGTCACCATCCCCCAAGGCTTCTAGATGAATACAAGCAACTTTCTCAAAGCTGCTTACCTAGAAGTAGAATTTCTAACCAATTAACAAACAACTCTGGTGTTACTAGATACTGAAAAATCATCCTCCAAAATGGGTGTGCCAGGTCTTACTCTTGAGCACAATAAAGGATTTTCTGTTTTCTTGCCCAAAGAGGTATTATTTTTTAACTGGGATCCTTGCTAATCTGCGGAGTATGAACTGAATTCTCATTGTCTTGATTTCCATTTCCCTGTTTACTGTGAGATCAAAAATTTCCTTTTAGAGATTCTTCAACTTTGCTGTTCTRTAATAATGTCTATCATAAACCTTTGCCCAAGTTTCCCTGGATTTGTCTTTTTCTTATTGCTGAAGTTCCTGACAGAGTTTATATGGTTATTAACTGTTCTTTTGTTACGATTTACAGTTAAGTATGACATTTGGAGGTTAATCCAATTAACAAAGTTTAACTCTTTTTTTTCACATCTATTAAAATGGTCTGTTTTTCTTCCCTCTCATTAAAACAAAGTAATTACAGTGATACATTTTCTGATGTTGAGCCGTCCCCGAAATTTTACTTGTTTTTGAATTATTTTTAACACTGATTAATTCATTTTCCTAGGGTTTTATTTAATGAGTTTGGACTAAAATCTCTTCAGTGAAATGGGGCTATATTTTTCTTTTATTGAATGATTCTTTTATGGTTTCCATATCAAAATTATACCATTCTCTTAAAATCAGTAGTTTTTCTGTCTTTTTCTGTTCTCTGAAGCTTCATTAAAACTTGCCTAAAAGATTATTTGGTAGAGAGCAAGAAGAAACGTGGTAGTAGGGTAGTGGTAGAGAGAGGGTAGAGTGGGTTCAGGCCTTTTCATGACCTGTTGGCCTATTTGGCTTCTTGTTTCTTCCTCAATTAGCATGGTAATTTTACATTTCTATTCAAATTTGCCAGTTTTCCCTAAATTTTCAAATTTATTGGCAAAAAAACTTATCAGAACATTTTTCTAGATTTTTGAGAACATGAAACTATTTCTAATTTTGTCTCTGTTCTTTTCTTTGTGTGCACATGCTCCCCGTGTATGTTTGCACTCATTTTTACTGGTTTCTTTTTTCTTGATAAGTTCTGTCAAAGAGAACTCCAACCTTTTCTGTAATACCAACTGTTATGAATATAAATATAAATGGGAAAAAATCAGGAAGGATACCTAGATGCAAAGACCTCATTCTGGGAAGGGGAAGGGAAGAGGTAGGATGATGGTAATTGTTCTGCTCCTGGCTATCCACACCAGCCTACTTCAGTGGAGGGTTTTGGTAGTATTTGGTTAAGATCTTCATTCCCTTTTCTGGAATCTCTAGGGTTTGGGCTACTTTTTAGCAGCATTATCTGGATAGTTAAAATATACACTTTTTAATTGGAGTAGATTAATCTAAGTGCATTAATTATATTTCTTGATCTATTTTGTACTTTTGCCATTATAATTTATATAGTTTCTCTACTTGTATTTTGTCTTCTTTCTCCTCCTCCTCCTTTTTAAAAATGTTTTTCCATTAAAAGTCTCCCTTCTATCAGTCAAAAAGTTAAACACCCTTATTTCTTTTCTTTTTAGTGCATATGGTCAAATTTTGACATCTACAATTAACTAAGTCTAATGTTATTCAAAAATTCTAGCTTGCTCCTCAATAATATAAAGACCTGCAAAGAATTTCCAGTAGCACTCTCCCTCTATCTTCCATATTATTAGGTAATATTGTAATTCCCTTAAACTTCTCCAAATTAGTAATCCTTACAGTCAATATTTATTCAGATTTTCCGATTGCTTTATTAATTCCTTTGCTCACCCTTGTTCCTTATATCACACTTCATTACTAGTTCAATTTCTTTTTATCAAAGTGCATCATTTTGGTAAATTTCAGCAAGGTCTGTGAGTACTAAATGCATGGACTTGCATTCTAAGAATATCTTGGTTTCTCTCTCACTCTTAAGTGATAATTTAGCTGGACTAGAATCTTTATATTGACAGATTTCTTTCCTCAGTGTTTCAAGGTACTCTCCACCTTCTCCACCAACTAATGTACTAATGAGAAACACATTCCAGTCTGGTTTCTGTCCTCAGTTGACTGTCTTTTTCTCGTGCAGCTTTTACATTTTTATTTGACTTGTTCTTACATATTATAAACCACATGTGTGGCTTTACTGTTATTTCTCATTATTGAGGCTGTGCAACAAAAAGATTCATGTCCCATTTCAATTTTTGAAAAGTCTTGACTATTGTCATTTGAATAGTGACTCCTTTTCATTGTTCTTTTTCTTCTTTGCTTCCTGAATTCCTTGTATATTTATGCTGTCCCTTTTCAATCCACCCTGTCTCTTAACCTCTCTCATTATTTTCTCTATTTTAATCTCTCTACTATACTTGGGTGATTTTCTCAGATCTAACTAATTTATCAGTTTCCTTTTTTCTGTATCTAATATGCTTTTCAGTTTCTACATTATTATTTTTTTTGTATGTGTGTGTATGTGGTACTGGGGATTGAACCCAGGGCCTTGTGCATGTGAGGCAAGACTCTACCAACTGAGCTATATCCCCAGCCCCATCTACATTAATTTTTTATATCAAGAACTATAATTGGGCTGGGGATGTGGCTCAAGCAGTAGCATGCTCACCTGGCATGCGCTGGGCACTGGGTTTGATCCTCAGCACCACATAAAAATAAAATAAAGATGTTGTGTCCACCAAAAACTAAAAAATAAATATTAAAAAAATTTCATTCTCTCTCTTTCTCTTTAAAAAAAAGAACTATAATTATGATTTTTAAAACTTCTTCCACCTATTCCTAAATCTGCCTAATAGCTTTTATTACTCAATTTCTTTGAACACTTAAAAAAACACACTTATTCTAAATTCCTTTTCATATAACTCTATTGTTTGATCCCCCTACTAGCTGCATCTCCTGTGTATGGCTATGGTGGCCCATCTCCTTGCATGGTTTTGTTTGGGGCTATAAGCCTCCCCTTTTTAAAATTTGTTGTTTGTTTTTTTTTAGATATACATGCAGTAGGGTGTATTTTGACATATATACAGGGGGTGCAACCCATTACAGTTTTGATCCAATTCTTGTGGTTAAACATGATTTGGAGTTACACTGGTCTTGTATTCATATACGAGCATAGGAAAGTTATGTCTGATTCATTCTACTATCTTTTTTCTCTTCCTCTTCCCACTCCCTTCATTCCCCTTTGTCCAATCCAATGAACTTCTGTGCTTCCCCTCCTTACCCTCCCTTGATATAGCTTAGTATCCACATATAGCAGAAGAAAAAAAAAGAGAGAGAGAACATTTGTCCTTTGTTTTTTGGGACTGACTTAAGAGGGTCCTGTTTTCCTTGCAGACATAGGTTCCAGAGGTTTTGGACACAACTTCACMGAATTATTTCAGATTTGTCTTTAAGAGGAAGATTTGAAGTTCAAGTTCCAGTTTTGGCTTTGTATCTCGGGATTATACAGGTTGAATGAATTTAGATCCCACATTGATGCTGGGTTTTTGAGTTTATGATGTCTCATATTTGAGAAATCAAGCTCTTTCAATTCTCTTGCCATAGTCAGACAACAAAATTTCTTGCTCTTTCTCTGGGAGAGTGTACAATTTCTTTCTAGAATTTATTTTACAGATAGAACATCATTTTGTGACTCTGGACTTCATGTTGATAGCTCAATGACAGCTCCCCCTTCAGATGAAGCCCATGGCTCAGACTTCCCTGTGACTCAGACATTAAATCCCCAACTGCCCAGTCATTAAGTCCTTTCTTTATCTGGTCTCAATTTCCCTTGGAGTCCCTTGACTACAGTATTCCTTAGCAACTTTTACTGTGGGTTTTCTCACTGTAACTGGCACYGGGGATTTTACATTATTGATTTCCACGTGAGCTATGTAATCTTTGTGCAGTACTGTGCACGGTTATATTTCATCTAGACTTCCTGTGCGTTTAAAGGAGAGATGTGTGTGCCTTCCATGTCTGCTTAGGTCACYGTATTGGCCAGACACACTTACATTACTTTCTAATGAGAAAAAAATACAAAGAGTTTTAAACTGTGTTTAAAGAAATGTTTTATTTTAAATAACCTTTTTTTGTCTGTGCTTCTCAGTGCTGAATTTGAAGAACCACATAATTATGAGGCAACAATTTCATATCGGAGACACTCTGGCAACTCCATTAACCTGTGCACTGCAATAGAAATTGCTGATTGTAAGTCTGCTAAGCCAATTAATATTGTAACCCTGTGTGGAATAAAAATGTGTCAAAAATGGTATTTTTCCCTCTGGCAAACTGTAAGTTAAAAAAACTCACAGCCATTCTGTTCTACCATCTCATTTCTTTTTATTTTTTGCCATGTCTGATCTCTTAAAAAAATATAAAGAAGTCCAGTTGGGCATCAGTGCTGTTTACAATTCCTACTACTGCCTTCTTTCCTCCACCTTTCCTCCTCCTCCTCCTCTCCTCTCCTTTCCTCTCCTCTCCTCTCCTTTCCAACTGACTTAGCTGCTTTGCTTTTTGTAGATACATAGGAGGGAAAAAAAATCAAGATATAGTGATTCATATTTTTTCCTTCTCCTATAGAAACCTCATCTTTCTTTTTGGGGTGTCTTTCTTGAAGTCCCCTCGTTACTCAGAACATGGAGATGGAGATAAGAGACCATGAGAATTAGGCGGTTGTGTTCAATCCAAATAGAAGAAGGGAGATTATTTAATGGATCTGACCACTGTTTCAGAGTTAAGTCTTCCCGCCTCTAATATTGACAACAATATTCAAGCTTTTTGTGAAAAAAGGGAGACCCTCTTAGGTAAAAACAGAAGAAGCAGGGAATCTTAACATTTCTGCAAATTTAATGTCTGTTTCTGCCTAAAGAATCTCTTAGTTATCTGCAAAATCATAAATATTAGTGCCAGAATAAACACGGGTGATTGCCAAACCTGTACTATGGACTATAGTTCTGTATTAGGTCCTGTGTACATGTCTGTAATAGAGTGGTTTTATCACTCACTGTTAAGAGACAGGAAACTGAAGATCAGAGGTTGTTTTTGGACAAGATCATATATGCTGTATCTGGTAGAGCAACAGTTGTAAGCAAGGTCAGCCTCCCTCAAAATCCCACCTTCTTTCCACAGTTTTATGCTGCTTCTCATTCACAGAAGTGTGGCTTCTCTGGAAGGAAGGTTAAAGACAGATCATCTGGTCTTATTAATTTATTACACAGGACAATAAGCTAGAGACTTGGGAAAAGGAAGCCATTTTCTTGGGAAGTTCTTGAAGGAAGAATGAGGACCCTATTGACATTTTCCTTCCCTTACCCAGGAAATAAGAGATTAGAAAACTACTAGAAAATTCCTTCTCTCCTCAACGGGGCAGAGTTAGGATTTTCCCTATGTTTTATAAAATGCTAGATAAAGGAGAGGAACTCCTGTACCCCGTTGCTCACAGAAGGCAATGCTGCCTATGTATCAGGGTATTGGGCATCCCACCTTGGAGCAGGGCTTTTCACTTTTTAGAGTTCCCTCRGATCTCCCAAGGATCTTGTCCAGTTACAGATTCTGATTCGGTAGCTCTGGAATGTGGCCTGAGATTTCCTGGTGATGATGATGATGCTGGTCTAGAGACCACACTTTGGATAGAAAGGCTTGGGGCCCCATTTGGGCTAAATTCCAACTGCATGCCCTTCTGCAAGGCCAAAAGGTATACAGAGACAAGGGGATGCTCCAATCAGAGCCTGTACCTTCTCTCTCTGGATCACATGAGACTCCCCTACCCTAGAATCCAGCCCTGTGCAATGACTGCCCTACTCCTGATTGGGTCTTCTCAGGAAAGACTGGGCTTCAGGGAAAGCTTTTGGGATGGGGACAGGTRGATGGAGCTTGGATTCATGCAAGGGTCCCTCATGATACAGGGTGAAGCTAAGAACCGAATATGGGAAATGGGGCCAGAGATGTGCATTTATTCTCTCCAGGACACAAATCTTAACAGTGAGATGTCCAAGGGACATCATTTTAGATACCCAAAGCTGGAGTCACTGAGGCAGGCCCTTGTTCATTCTTTCACTGAAAGATCCTGGGTTGTGCATCATGGACAGGGCTCTGCTGCCAAGGAGCCAAGTATTTATGGTTGAAAATAGAAAGGGCTCAAAAAACAAGCCCCCAATCCCACTGGGAGGTAACAGAGCAAGAGGAAGAAGGGGTTGGGGGAGGGATGGTGGCTAGGGCTTCCCCTTTCAGAAGGATATCTTTTTGGGAGACAAGAATAAATCTGCTAGGCCTGAAGAATCTGAGGAACTATAGCCTGGGATCAAAAGTGTGTGGTGTGTCCCTTACCCTGCCTTTCTCTAAAGAGCCACCATATAACACCCTCCAGGAAAAAGAGAGAAGATAGCAAAGTGGAGCTATTTCACYCCAAACTGTGCTTCTTCATCTGTTTTATTAGTTTCTTCCATTCTCTTTATGCCCCTAGATGACACATGAACCTTAGTTTCTTCATCTAGAAATTGGGTATACTATTTTTTTTGTGGATTTTTCCTGAGTGTTTGATAAAATAAGACATTGAAATCTAGCGAAACCGTGCTTCTAGGAGGATGGAGCCCAAGTATTTTCCTCCTTCCTTCCTGCTAAGTATAGTTTTTAAAATGTGGTCATTATATATGTATAAAATATATAAAAATAAACATAAGAAGAAAGGAAGACTCTGAAAGGTAGAAGACGACGAACATTGAGACCAGTGAAGGAGGATAAGGTGGTGAGTTTCTTAAGTTTTCTTCTTTCAAAAGCTGGAGAAAGGTAAAATTGTCTAGGTGTGGGAGGTAAAATGTTTCCAGTCAGATTTGATCCAAATAAGACTACAACAAGATGTAATTAAACTGTTAAAAGTCAAAGACACAGGGGATTCTTAAAACAGCAAGAAAAAAAAAGGTAAATCACATAAAAAGGAGCTCCAATATGTCTAGCAGTGGTTTTCTTAGCAGAAACCTCACAAGCCAGGAAGAGAATGGATTGAAATGAAAAATTGTGAGGAAAACAAAAACAAAAACAAAACTACCAACTAACAATACTTGACCCAGTACAGTGTCTTCCAGAAGAGGTAGACTTTCCCAGGCAAATAAAAGCCGAGGAGATTCTCCACCACTAAACTTGTCTTACAAGGAATGCTAACAGGAGTTCTTCCAGCAGAAAGGATCCCCATTAGTAACATGAAAACATATAAACTTAATGGTAAAAATTTACTGGTAAAATAAATGCACAAAAAATTCAGAATTATCTAATAGTGTAATGGTGGGATGTGAATCACTTTTATCTTTAGTATGAAGGTTAAAAGGCAAAATGACTAAAAACAACAATAGCTGTCACAATTTGATAGAGGTATGGAATATAAAATATGTAACTTGTAATAACAAAAAAATAAAAATGTGAAAGAGTTAATAAAATTAAGGGACTTTTTGGCAATCAGTCATAATGGAAACAATATGAAATTTATAAAAAAAAATAAAACAGAACTATATGATGCAGTATTCCCACATCTAGATATACCTCTAAAGGAAATGAAATCAGTATGAAGAAGAGAGATCTGCCCTCCATGTTCACCGCAGCGTTGTTCACGATAGCCAAGACATAGATCGACCCAAGTGTCCATCAAGAGATGAAGAGATGAAGTAAATATGGAATATATTCAGGATGAAATATTATCCAGCCTTAGAAGGAAATTCTGTCATTTATGATAATGTGAATAAACCTGAAAGACATTATGTTAAGTAAAATAAGCCAGACCTGGAAAGATAAATTCTACATTATTCTTGCTTATATGTAGAATCTACAGTGAGTCTCATGGAAGCAGAGAGTATAATCAATGATATTCCCAACAGCAGGCATAGGAGGAGGTCAGGGAGACGTTGGGTCAAAGGAAACAAAATTTTAGTTCGAGAAAATAAATTCTAGAGATCTACTGTACACTGTGGTGACCATAGTTAATAACAATACATTGAATACTTTAAAAATGGTAAGAGTAGATTTTAAGTGTTCTCACCACAAAAAATATAGGAGATAATACGTACATTAAGTCGTCTGATTAAGCCATTTCACAAAGCATATGCACACCAAAATATAGTGCTGTGTATCCTAAATATATACATTTTTTACTTTTTAATTAAAAAATCATCAAGTAAATATCTCAAGCTACAATCTAAGATCTTACCTAAAGTACATAGAAAAATAAGAGCGAAGTAAATTCAAAGCAGATAGCAAAAAAGAAACAACAAAGATAAAAGAAGTAAATGGAATTAAAATAAGAAAGATCAATGAAACCAAAACTTTGTTCTTAGAAAAGATCAATAAAATTGACAAACCACTAGCAAGACTGACAAAGAAACAAGGAAWAAAAGATACAAATATCAAAAATGAAACAGGGATATCATCACAGATCCTATAGACATCAAAAGAATAATAAAGGAATATTATAAAGAAACTGCATACATATAAAATTTGACATTTTGAGGTAAAAATGGAGCAATTCCTTTAAAAGCTCAAACTATCACCTCACCCAACATAAATCATTTGACTAGCCCTGTAACTCTTGAAAATTGATTGCATAATTTGAAAAATCTCTCCCTCCAATTATCCTAGTCCAAGTGACTTCACCAGAAAATGCTAACATTTAAAGAATTATATACCAATTCTATGTGATCTTTTCCAGAAAAATGGAAGAGAAAACATTTCTTGATTTATTTTATAAATCTAGTATTATCCTGATACAGAAACCAGACAAAAGCCAAYTAAATAAGAAAACTTCATATTYTTTATGAGTTTCATAAAAATCCTTAACAAAATATTAGCAAACAGAATTCAGAAGATTTTAGAAGGAATTGCATGCCATGACTAAAAGTGGTTTATTCCAGAAATGTAAACTGGCTCAATACTGAGAAGTCCATTCACAAAAATCTACCATATTGACAGATGAAGAATAAAAATCATATAAAACCTATGCAAAAAATGGATGAAATTCRACCAAAAATTCTTGAAAAATTAAGAGGGGAATGTCCTCACCTTGATAAAGGACATTTACACACACACACACAGGAAAAAAAAAAAAAACCTACAGCAAAGCATGATGCTTAACCACAAATACTGAAGGCTTTATCCCCAAATTGGGAGCAAGGCAAGAATGGCCTCTCTCACCAGTCCTATTCAACACAGAGCTGAGAGTTGTAGCCAGTAAAATAAGGTAAAGCAAGAAAATAAAAGACATTCAGATCAAAAGTGAAGAAATAAAAACTGCCTTTCTTTGGAGTGACATGATTATCTAGGTAGAAATTCCTAAGGAATTTACAACCTCCCTTTCCTAAAAATCCCTCCTAGGGACTAATAATTGAGTTCAGCAAGGTTGTAGGATACAGTTTTATTTTTATATCTTAGCAGTGAACATGTGGACACACTAAAATTGAAAAATACAATACCTTTTACAATGGTTCAGAAAAAAAGACAGACTGAAATCTAACACAGCGTGTATAAGACATAAATGCTGAAAACTGTAAAATTTGGATTAAATAAATCAAAGTGTAAGTGAATGAAAAGACATATCCTGCTTTTGGATTAGAAGACTCAATACAGTAAAATTGATAAGAGAAAATTTCAATTCTTCCCTCGAGATACACAGGTTTAACGCAATTGCAATAAAAATCCCAGCAAGATGTTTTGTAGAAATAGACAAGATTATTCTTAAATGCGTATGGGAAAGCAAAGGAACTGAAACACCTAAAAACAGTTTTGAAAAAAAAAGATTAGGAAACATCAGTCTACCCAGTTTCAAGACTTACAGCTACAGTAATCATGACTGTGGCATTGGCAGGGAGACACATAGAAATCAATGGAAACTCAGAAATAGACCTATGCCAATATGCCCACCTGATTGTTTTCTTTATGAAGATGCTAAAGCAATTCAACAGTGGAAAGATAGCCTTTGAACAAAGTGTTGGAGCAACAGAATATCCATAGATTAAAACAAAAACAAAACAAACCTAAACCCTTGAGCTAATTTTCACACCTTATCCAAAAGTTAAATGACAATGAATCTTTCTTCCTTGCCTTGTCCACCAAGGAAGATGAGGAATCTAAATGATATCTTTAAATAGCAGGAGAGGATGAGGTGTTTGGTTCTTACTATCACCATTGAGCTCAGCCCTGCGCGGGGCCTTTGTGAGTCTTGCCCATCCTTACAGAACTCAGCCTCCGATGTACAGGCTTCTTGTTGTTCTGGAAGCTCTGCAGAATTGTCCTCAGAGGTCACCTGGGCCACTGCTTTCTGGACTGTGTTTCTGAGACCCCAGAGATTCCTTCAAATGATGAAGTTCTGATTATGTTCCAGAGTAATAGTCCATTTAAATAAACAAATCCATGATTAGAGGAAAGTTAAGTCATTTCCCAATTGAGTGACCTGGGGCAAGTTATTTTACTTCCCTGTGTGTTCCTCCATCAGTAAAGGAGTATGAGTAGCAATTGTCATAAGAGCTAAATGGAATAGTGCATTTAAATACTTAGCATAGTRCCTGCTAGCTATATGCATACAAATGATAGCTACTTTTTATTATTGTTTTTGTAATATTAGAAAGAGTCATCTCATCTACTGGTCTAACAGAGGTGAAGGGACTTTTCCAAAGTCACACAGGGAGTTAGTGCATGTAGAATTAGCTGTGGGCCTCTCAGACATGACCATGTTGTGACATTAGTAGATGGAGGGTGGCTGAGGACCCTCTTCTGACTTTTGCCCTTCCTCTGCCAGTCAAGGCAAAGCTATTCTATGGAGAGAAAGTTCTATAACTCAGTACACAGTGAGCCAGGACTGGGCTTGGGTCACATCCCCTTGTTAAATCTCCTAGTTCTTTCCTGACCCCTTGGGATACAGCCTTTTTGTACCTTGAAGTAGGTTTGTATTGCATAACGTACCATTGAAGAGTCCCCACTTTGTTAAAATACTTAACATCATGAATATGTTTTCAAGGGAATGTGTATTATCTCTGTTTACTAGACATAGCAATTAAGGTGTCTCTTAGCCTTGGTTTCATGGTTCCTAAAGCAGAATAAATAGTATTTTCTACCCCTCCAGGTGGCTAGGGAAAGCAAATGAAATCACAATTTGTTCTTTAAAAAAAAAACAGATAAATAAATTGAAAGAGAGTATCATTTTTTTAATTTGTAGACCAAATCCATACTAGGAAAAGATATGGGGCAAACTGTATCGTAAGGAGACTTTTTTTTTTTTTTTTTGGTACCTAGGAATTGAACCCAGGGGCACTCTGAACATTGAGCCATATCCCAGCCTTATTTATTTAAGACAGAGCCTCACTAAGTGGCTGATGCTGGCTTTGAATTCGCAGTCCTCCAGCCTCAGTCTCCCAAGCTCCTGAGATTACAGGTGTGTACCATTGTGCCTGGCAAGGAGATTTTTTTAAATTTTTTTTTTTTAGTTGTAGATGGACACAATACCTTTATTTTATTTATTTATTTTTATGTGGTGCTGAGGATAGAACCCAGTGCTTCACATGTATGAAACAAGCGCTCTGCCACCCCACCACAATCAGATATTTTTTGAAAATATTAATAGTTTAAATTTTTAAATCGAGGAGTGACAGAATAGAATTTTTTTCATTTAAAAATCAGTGAAAATTAAAGTGTACCCAATATGAAGTACATATTACTAATTATTCTTGCAGAATTTTAGGTCAGTGTGACAAGAATCATGTGCTGACAATTCCTAAGGAAAACTTGGGATTCCATTAATTGCATTATGAATTGTGTGTTTGCAAAAATGAAAGCTTAGAAATACAACATGTTGTTTGGTCAGTTTAGGATTCTAGCAGCAAGAAAGAAATGAAACAGAAGYCCTGCTTGTCACACACACATTCTTTAATAGCAGAGGGAGAACTTGCATAAATAACTTCTAAGCAAAACAAAACTAAAAATMCCCAAATAAGCAATTTTGTGAAAAAACACGTCACTTTTTATAGAATCCCTGATGTTCTACTAAGTATGTGACATCTAATATCATCCCCTTTAATTTCTTCATGAACTTGGTACCAGTTTGCCCAGTTTCACAGATGGAAAAGGTAAGGCTCAAAGAAATGAAGTAATTTGTCTGAAATCCCCCAGGTAGGAAGTGGCAGGACTGAATTTGAACCCAAATTCTTGTCATTACTTATATTTGTTAATACAATTATTAAGTGTCATTTACAGAAATCCAAAGAAGTATCAGAAAAACCAAAAGATATTTGAGCCTTAATTGGCAGGCTCCTCTTCAAGCAGTGTTTCAGAAATAGTCCACTTTGGGACATGATATGAGTTCATTTTGTCAAAGTGGCATTTAGGCCCTTTTTTCTTTCAAGTTTGCCTTCTAAAGTACTACCTCTAAATCTCAGTGCTTTCTCTTACGCATGGAGTATATATCTATTTAGTAAACCAAGAAACTTAAAATGGTTTTGTATGCTTTTATCAACTATAAATTCCATGTTAGAAATTCCCACAGAAATTAAAACCATGATCAGTGACCCTAGAATTTCCCAAACTGTGTAGACAGAGCCTCATATAGATCGATGCTCTGAAGGTTGATAAAACTGAACTTTGCCATCTTGCGTCATTGCTTTTCATCATGAGTACTGGAAGAAATGGGTGGGCAAACTGACCTGAGATAACTTTTTATGTTTATTTCAGCAACTTATGAAGTTGAAATTGAAGAACTCCAAAAGGTACTGTTTCTTCTCTCCTTACCACTGTGACAACTAAGAGTAAACGAGTCTGCAGGGTTGATTCCAGAGCACTTTCTTTGGTGAAAGTGAAGGTCCTAGTTTTCGGTTTTACCCTCCTTGTCAGGCTTTTCCAGAATCCAGTGGCTGAGGGAAGAGTCCCTTGGCCGATACATTTCTTTATCTTGTGTTTTTGAGAAATCGTACGATCCCAAGGCATACATAGGGGCTCCTGCTGGGCATGGTAAACAGGTGCCACCTTAGAGGTGATATAGCATTTGATGAAGGCCATGCAGGACCAGAGTTCCTGACTTTGTGATCTTGAATCTCCATGGCCTCACCCATAAAATGGGGATGATAAAGCACTCACATCTGGGATCCTTGTGAGGATGAACATAAGGTAAGTATCGGTAAAGAGTTTGTTAGCAAGTCTCTAGAACAGAGCATGCACCTCAGTGAGCCTCAGTTGTGTCCTCTGTAAAATGGAGTCATCCATCTCCCTGGAGGCAGGAAGCATATGCCTTGTTACTGTATCTATAGTAGTAGATGTCCAATAAATAAGTGGAACTATACTTATCTCCATGAATGGGTGGGAGAACCAAGTCAAAGTGTGTAAGCACTCAGCACAGTGCCTGGCTCACAGTAGGTGTCTTCATGGTGCCAGTTAATGTCCTATCTTGTCCTTAGAGTATTCATTTAGTCTACATCCTTTATCTCTCTTTCTTGGTTGTCTTATACTTTCTGATGAGGATTATTTATTTGTGGGTACATTCTGTAGCTAGAAAAATACAAATAACTATCATTCTTTTGAGCAAGAGTAGAAGCAATCTATAAAAGTGCTTMACCTAGGCCACACAGTAGTGTATACCTGTGCTCCTGGTGACCTGGGAGGCTGAGGCAAGAGGATCACAAGTTCAAGGCCAGCTTGGGCAACTTAGTGAGGCCCTGTTTCCAAAAAAAAAAAAAAAAATAGGGATGTAGTTCAGTGATTGAACACCCATAGGTTCAACCCCTAGTACTGGGAAAATAAATAAATAAAAGCTTCAGCTACCTGGTAACATCAACATATGATAAGCCACCCTGCATAAGAGAGCCCTGCACATAACCAAGTCTCATACCTTTCAAGTTAAAAGGCATGAAAGTACTTTTAGTTTYTAAGTCTTTTAACCCTCAGATATGGTTTACATTCACCTCTATTTTTAAGCTTGGTGAGTGGAGTCTGATATCATTCTTTTTGTTTATTTTATTTTGTTTATTGTTGGCTCTGGGAATAGATCCCAGAGCCTCACACATGGTAGGCAAGTTCTCAACCACCGAGCCACATCCCCAGCACCTGGTTTCATCCATTCTTAGTGCCTTGGAGTAGCCTTGACTKTAGGGTCAGTGGACACAACTCAATCTCTTTCTAGAAGCTCCGGGCCCTTGGAGAAGAGCTTGTTGCCTTCACACTAAACCACTACAACTCTGCTGTCTATAATTGTTTTCTTTCTGACAATTACCATTTCCATCTGCTGTCAACACCTCTGTGTCTTTCATCTGGCCAAGACCCTGTACCAAGGCCCTGCTGTGAGCCAAGCACTTTTGCATATGTGGTAGCACTGTGAGCTGGGATCACTGCTTCCATGCTACAGATGGGACCCTGAAGGCTTGAGGAGTTAAGGAACCTGTAAACAAGGTAGTAAAGGTGGAAAACAACCTCCATCTAACTGGTCCTCCTGCCGGTGCTAGAATTATATATAAAATCAGAACCAGCAGGCCCTGCATGAATGCCTACAGGGCTCTCCTCAGAGGAGCACATGTGAGCTAGTACACCTGGATTTCGTGGTGACATTTCAGATGCTTATTTTCAGTTTTCTTCAGGGTTCTTGGAGAGATTCCAAGTAATTTATGGTATCAGCTATGTGACCACTGAATAAATGAGGGTCTGTATTGTTATTAGTGGGACATAATTTTAATGGAGCCAAATCTAGATCATGAGAGAGCTGAGTTGGGGCTAGAAGATGTGGTCAGTCATGAAGCAATCCCAGCGTTCCTGGCACACCTGCCTGTACCTATGGTGCCCACAGAAACCCGGCTCAAATACCACAAACGCAAAYTTCCTCACACAATTCAGAACTGCATCCCTAAAAAGGTTTACAGAGAACACTTTAATTTTCCATCAAATCCTGCATCCCCAGGCATGCTCTGAAAGCTTAGAATGCTTTATTTTCTTTTCTGATTGATCATCAGCCCCGCAGGCAGTACTTCATGAAACTCTCCGTGATACACTTTGTGGTGATCGACTTCCTTGGCTCTATACTGAGCTCTGTGCTCCCGCCCCCCCCCACCTTTGGTCCAGCCTCCTAGTGATCTTTAGCTGTACAACAGAACCTAATTTGGGTGGATTTATGAAAAAATGACTTATTTTCCTCTGTACTTTCAGCCTTGGAAGAGTTTTCTCCATCAAGAACTTAGGTGAGTTTTTATCTTCAAAAGGAAAACATTGATTGGCCTAGCCACTGACCCTCTCAAGACTAAGCTAGTTTTCCTCTCTAGGCCAGCTGGGTCCTGGGCCTGACCTGCCTCGGTTTCCTCTTGAAGGTGTCTGGTTACAGTAGGGGCTYGGTTATCCTTTCTCTCTCATTCGAGCCCATGCTGCATACACCCAGCAAACTAGTTGATAGGGCAAAAAGGAGGAATTGAAGTCAGGTTGTCATACAGCACAGAAGGCCAGGGTGTTAGGGCAGCAGAAACTATGACTGCTTGGGAGAATCAGGGAAGGATTCTCAGGTAAGACATTGTAGACAAATCAAGAGGGTTCTCTCTCTCTCTCTCTCTTTTWACTGGTGTCTTATAGTTGTATATATTGATGGGATTTGTTGTTATATATTTGTATATGCACACAATATCACAACACAATTTGGCCAATATGACTCCCCAGTACTTTCACCTACCCTCCCTATCTCCTACCCCTCCTCTACTGATCTCCCTTGGATTTTTAGGAGATTTATGCACTTTCTTTTCCTTTTCCTCTCTAGCTTCTGCATAGGAGAGAAAACAAAGGACCCTTGATGTTCTRAGTTTGAATTATTTTGCTTATCATGATGGTTTCTAGTTCTATCCATTTTCCTGCAAATACCATGATTTCATTTTTCTTTATGGCTGGAAAAAAAACTCCATTGTGTATATATACCACATATTCTTTATCCATTCATCCATTGATGGACACCTAGGCTTGGTTCCATAGTCTGGCTATTGTGAACTGTGCTGCTGTAAACATGGGTATGCCCGTATCACTGTAGGAAGATGCCTTTAATTAAGAAGGATCTTGTATTTGTCAGCAGTGTAAGATGCATACAGCATGTCTGAAAAAATAAACAACTAATGAAAAAGGAGAGTTGCTCAAATGGGGTGGTGGGTCTGGACAATTATGAGTCTAGACTTGAGCAAAACTGGGGGGAAGAAGCAAAGAGAGATGGAATTGGAAAGAGATTTAGGAGCCAGGCCTGGGTTTTATCCTATGACCCATGAGGAGTTTAGTGATTTTAAGCAGGAATTGACATTCCAGCATTGATTGGAGCAGGCAGGAAGGAACTCAGGGAAGCTGTCTCTATGGTTGATCTGATCCTGTCCCTCCTTATTAAAAAATAAGTCTTTCAGTTTTCCCCTTTAATTTAGGATTGAGCTGCCATCTGCCACTCTAATCTCCACTTTTTCCTTAGTGTGTGTTTGTATTTCAGCCCTAAACATGAAAATCCAGATAGAAGAATGAAGGAAAAAGGGCCATGTGATTTGGAGCCTCAAACAACAGAAAAGGATCCACATACAAACGGTCCTTCCAAGGTATCTGTGTTGAGGGTTCCTGGTCAAATGGCATAAATCACACGTGTAGCAGGATCTGCTCAGGGTGGGACATTTTAGAGACTAAGACATGAATCAGAAGGTGCAGGGGGTGCTGGGCATCTTTGCCAAGGAAGAAATGTGTGAAAACACTGAGCTTCGCCCTCAGCTCTCTACTTATGATTCAGGAGGGAGGCCTCCGCAGGGCTGGGGGGACAAAAGGTACAGGCACTCACTCTTGGGAACCATCTCTTAGTCCATTTTCTGAACCTATAAACAAAACACCTGAGACCAAGGAATTTATAAAGAGTAGAGGCTTATTTGGCTCATGGTTCTGAAGCMAGAAGTATAAGAGTAAGATGCTGGCATCTGGGGAGGGCCTCGTACTGAAGCCTCACGTGGCAGAGGACATCATGTGGGAGACAGAACAAGCCAGTGCTTTGGTGAAAAAGCCACTCCTTTTAGCCTATGAAGGGACCCAGTTCCTTCTCAAAGCCCCCATCTCCTAATATGGCTAACACAGGAAGGTGGGGATTAAGTTTCCAGTACATGAAATTTGTGAGACACATTCAAATGCTGCTTTTATAACATCCTAGAACAAGGACTTTCTTAAATTCTGTGCCCTATGTCCCTGCTTAGAAGAGTGTCTTCATTTCTGAGTTCAGTCATCTCATCTGGAAAAGGCAGGTTTGGAATCCCTACCCAGMTCCCATTTCCATTCCCATCCCAATTCTACCTTGTTTGTGATGAAAAAAAAAATGAAATAATGTGCCTGCAAGCACTTGGTAAGACAGAAGATAGCAGAAAAATGAARTGTTTCTTTTATTAATATCAGACCTGTAGCTGTGTGTACATCTTTCTCTGGTTGACATTTCCCCCTTCATAGCAGCTGGTGTGGAGGGAGGTTTAAGCAACAGATGCCACCAGGGTGACTCCCAGGGCTCAAAACATTCCAGATACCTGTCTGAGATGGGCCTGTCTTTTAAAATCAGGGTACCCCAGCGCCATCTGCAGGGCTAGGCTAATCAAACAGCATGTTGGCATGGAGAGCCCAAACTGGTATGTAGGTGCAGAAGGTATGTTGGGTGTTTAGAGAATATCACTGAGAAGCATAATCCATAGAAGAGAGGCTGAGACAGGAAGATCACAAGTTCAAGGTCAGCCTCAGCACCTTAGTGAGATCCTCAGCAACTTAGCCAACCACTGTCTCAAAATAAAAAATGAAAAGGAATGGGGACATACCTAAGGGCTAAAGTGCCCCTGGGTTCAATCCCCTGTACCAAAATAATAATAATAAAATAATTCAAAGGATAGAATAAGTCACTTATTAGAAAAATACAGGGTCTGGAGTCAGGGGAACAGCACTGGGTGTCAAGGCCAGAGGGAAGGGTCAAGGCCATAAGTAAGTGTTGAGGCTGGAGATCAGGGAAGGGTTGATCAGGAGCATATGAGAAAATCAATATGAAAWCCATGAAAAAGCAGTAGTGTGCACTTTTTCAGTGCTAGCTATGTGAAAGGATCCAGGTGTAGGGTCAGGCTACCACAAAGGAATCACTTCCCACTTTTTTGGTGGGGGTGGGGTAGTGTTTACATTTTTAAACTGTTAAAAGTTACTGTTTTRTTAGAGGTGTGTTAGATGAACGAAGTGGGTAATCTAGCTGGACAGTGTCCTTTGGGGGTCAAATATAAATAGTTATGCAGTAGATACATAATCCATCATGATTCCAAGTGCCTCCTGGGAACATTCCCACAGATAGCCCTAAGAGAATTGGTGTGGTGCTCTTCAAGGGACTGTGTTGAAGGACCATGGTCACTGTGTCTGTGTAAAAGACTGACTTCATTACTTTCCTATTAAAATGACAGGAAGTTAAGAGAATGCCCCTCCTTTTGTTCTTCTCACAATTTGCCCATGATCCCAACAAAGCTCAGGATAATTCATGCTTTCTATCAATTATTTGGCTTTTTCTCAGAACTTTCAAATGTGTTCTCATAGCCAACCCCCACATCCACTTCTTTGTCATGGGAAGGATGCTGATCCCTCTCCCTCTTCATCTGACAACAGAAAACAATGAGGTGGCCAAAAGTGTTCTCTCTCTAGTGTATTTTCCAGCCAGTCTATCCAGATCTTTCTGAAATATAAATCTGATCAGGTTTTTTCCCATAGCTAAGAAATAAATCCCAAATTTTTGTCTTCCATGTAGGACCCTCAGCTCTCCCAGGTGTGGCTTCCTAACTCAGCCTCATTCTCTGACTTTTACTACCTCCTCTTCTCTCTTCTCCCGTCTCCTCCCCTTTCCTTCAGCCCCTCTGTACTATCTTTTAAAGATGCTAGCACTTGTCCACATACTGCACACCTTCGCTCATGCTGATTATCTGCCAGGTATCCCTTTACCTCCTCCACAATCTCCTACCTACATTTAAAAAATAGTTTAATAAAATCCTGCTTTTTGACATCTTCCCCGGCCCCTCCCTGTGCTGTTTCCATGGCCAAGAGCAGTTCTGCCAACACTGCTCACATCACACCCTCATTGGCTGTGTTATCTCCGTGCTCAGCAGGCAGGCCCCTCTGTGCCCTGCATCTCTCTGATTCCAGAGCTTCATGGATTGTCTCACCTTTCGGAAGTGTCTGACCAACTCTGGAGAAAGGAAGGGCAGAGAGGTTAAGAAAGAATGGTGGATAGAAAGACAAAATGTCAGGCACAAGGAAGGAATTCCAGCCTCCCTCTGTGGTCCAGAGCACAGGTTCTGGGGTCAACCCTGCCACAGTTGATTACTAACTGGGGGACCACAGACCTGTTACTTAACCTCTCTAGACTCTTTATCAAGGGGACTGATAATATTTCTCTCATGAGATGTCAAGATGATTACATGAGATGGAATATACAAAGAGCCTGCAGTGTGGTTAGTGCTGGGCTCCCAGGGGTCTGCCTCTGTGCCAGGCATTTATTGGCCATTCAGAGACAAATGAGAACAATGTGTGCTCTTACCTAGTACTAAGTAATGAATAATAAATAATAGTTATTCACAAGGAATGACTGAATAAAAAACAGCCTGCAGAAGCAGACAACTGAGTGGAAATTTAGAGCCCTGCAGAACATGTCCATATTTGCAGGTAGATGTCTGCAAATGGACACCTGCAAAAATCCAGATGACCAGAGTCCATGGAGGCCGAAGGAGCATGCCAGATGGGAAACAGGAAACCCTGACTGACATCCTCCAGACAAAGGTCTGCCTGGAGGACATGAAGCTAGCAAGTGGTGAGTTTACATTCCTGAAGTTAAATTGTTTCATTTATAAAATGGGTCATCATGTGAACCTTACAGGGATTTTATGAGGACCAGATCTGACATTATGTTATATGATAGGTACTCAGCAAATGTTTATTCTTTTCTTCTTATACCTGTTGTCTTAGTAGACTCACGGAGCCTACACATTGATGTCACACTGATATGTTATAATGCAGAGTCACTTGGTGATTATTTAGGTTCCATTTTACCTTCATGTTAGTCAAGACTTTTGATTGCAAATACAATTAAAGCATACTCTGTTTAATCAAAAAATTAAAAGTGGTTCACTTAGTAGAAAATCTCTGCATGGCTGGATCCAGGGACACAAGCAATACCATGAGGACTCAGTGTCACCTTTCTCTTCTGGTTTTGCTCCCATCTGTGGTGACTCTGTTTTCCAACAGATGGCTTCCAGCTTACAACCTATGTTCTCTTAAATCCAAGAGGAAAATTAGAAATTTTTATCTTCCCAACAATTGTAAGCTCCAGGATCTGAGTTGAAATCCACGATTAGTCCCTAAACCAATCATTAAGTGTATGATGCTCTGATTGGCCCAGCCCAGGTCATACCCCTTGGAACTAGGGATTTGGGTTCTACCAAAATGACAAACCCTCAGATTGGAGGATTCCCCAGGGAAATAAGACAGCTACTTGGTGGYGGGGTGGGGAGTAGAAGCTAGGCAGACAGATGTGACCTCCAGCCCAATAGGCCAAGGCTAGTCACTGACTTCCAGTGCTACAGCCACAATGGGAAGAGTGATTTTTCAGTGCCATGGGTGGCTCAAGTCTGCTGCCAGCCTCCCTGGCCTGCTGTACCACACACCTGTTCCCTGCATACTCTCTGCTCTGGTCGCAGGTTGCTAAACATGTCACATGTGTGAGGTAGCCCTCTATATGGAATGCTTTATGCCCTTTCTCCACATGCTGGAGTCCTATTCATCCTTTAAGCTCTGTCCCCAAAGCCACTTCTGAGGCCTGCTTTACCTTCAGCCCACCTTCCCTGTTTCTGGTTCTCCAAGGACCGTCAATTCCTCACTCCTGTTTCCATGACACTTCAACAGCAGCAGAATGACATTTCCACATTAGGACTTGGGAGTCGAGCATTTCTGAGACCCAGGACCACTATCTTAATCCTGTAACCTTGAAAAATTTACTTATTTTCATGTCCAAGTGGGGATAATACTTATTTCCTAGGGCTATTTGTTAACTGATATAAAATGTCTGCTTCAGATATTAAATAACTATAGTTGTCTTCATTTATTTTATATGTTGAAAATTGTAGCATGTCTTACAATTCATGGTTTATGTGTTGCCTCCCAGGATACCCTGTGAGTACCTTGAGATCAGTGTGTTGATTTTTTCCACATCTATGTGACCTTGCCAGTGTCTGACATAAGAGAGCTACTGTACAAAACTTTGTTGAGCAAAGGAATGAAGAATAAGTCAAACTTTGGTTTCTGAGACTATGGTGGATTAGACAATCTAATGATTCTCATGACTGAAGCAAGTAAAGTAAAGAATAAATTTTTACAATATTTATAAAAGTGTCACAGAACAGATATGAAAAGAAATACCAGCCAAAGCTAGTGTTTCCACTGAGGGCTTTTTCAGAGCTTGAAATTCCTTGAGCTCCTCTTTACTGCAAGGTGTTGCAGAGGATGGGAGGTATATCCTGGGATCTGCCCAGGTGAGTTTCATAACAAGAGACTCCTGTATAAAGTTGGGACTGCGTTCACTTCCCATTAGTATAGCAAATATCTGAGATAATCAAATTATAAAAAGAAGGGGTTTATTTGGCTTGTGGCAGCTGAGAAGCAAAGAGGAAGGAGGAGAAGGGGATGGGGTACTAATATCCCCTTCAAGGGCAGTGCTCCAATGACCAGAAGTCCTCCCACTAGTTCTGACCTTATAAAGGTCCCACTGTTTCTGCATGAGTCACCCATTCATCACTGTGATCTAAATACCTGACAAGAACAACTTTAGGGAGGAAAGATTTATTTTGGCTCATGGATTCAGAGGATTAAGTCCTTGGTCCGCAGGATCCAAGGCAGAAACATCTTGGTGGAAGGGCATGGGAGAGGGAAGCTACGAGATCATGGCACCCAGGAAGCAGAGAGAGACAGGAAGGGGCCAGGAGCAGAGACAGCCTCCAAGGCCACGTCTCCAGAAACCTATCATTTTCACCACTTCCCAGCAAGACCATTCAAATTATTCATCCATCAAATGGATTAATCCACTGATGAGGCCAGAGCCCTTACGATCTAATCCTTTCACTTCTGAACATTGCTACATTTCTAACACATGAGTCTTGGGGGAACATTACAGATGCAGATAATAACAACCTCCCAATAGCACCAGGGGCTGGGACCAAGCTTATTACACAGGTCTTACAGGACACTTATCCAAACCACAGCCAAACTCAAAAAGTTACATCCAGGCTTTAAGGATGAACAAGACCCCACTAAAATAGAGGAAGTCAAACCATTTTGACCTTGGTATCACGTAAAGGAAAAATTTTAAAAATCTATTACCACAAACTGATTCTCTGCACTTCTGCAGTTTAAAATCACACTATTTATATAATTTCTCCCCAAAATCAATTTGATTTAAATTAAATTCTGCTTGGTAAACCTCCCAGACAACTGGTAGAAACAAACATAAATTGTCCATGATAAAATCTGCTTTATCTCAGGTTTCAAATAATTCATATAATTCTTTTAAAAAGTAACAGTTCATAGTCAAAGATAGCTTAATACCCAAGGAAACAACTCACAATGAGCTAAAACTAGCACAAGTAGAACTAAACCTGCAAGAAATTGAGATATAAAAATTATCAGATCCAATATATAAGAATATAAATAGGGAATAAGCATTTGAAAAATTGATAAATTGATATAAAATGCAGTAAATAATATACATATTATTTTAGACAACTAGCAACCAGTGAACTAAAAAAAATCAACACAGGGAAATTCCACAGAAGAAAATGATTTAGAAAGAATAAAAGAGAAGATAAGAAAATAGAATGAGAAGTCTTAAAATGATATCAAATCAGAGTTCCATAAAAGAACACTAAAAATAGGAAATAAAATCATAGGTAAAAGAGATAATTAATTTTCCAAAATTATTCAGAAATATAAATTTGCAGATCCAGGAATCCTAAAGTTCTCAAAAATGATAAATAAAATAAATTGACACCTACCTAGCCATATCTTAGAGAAAGTGAAGAACACTGAAGAATAAAGTAACTTGAGTGAGAGAYGATGATAGCCCAGAGGAGGGCACCACCACAACAGCATTGCTGAGATGTGTCTGGATTCAGGATATAATTTAAAAGTACAGGTGACAGGTGGCTTTTGATGGAGGTAAGATATGGGAGAGAAAAGAATCAAGGTTGTCCAAGACTAACATCACTCTAACAGAGAAAAATTAGAAGCATTCCTTCTAAAAACTGGAACAAGACAGGGATGCCCTCTTTCACCATTTCTATTCAACAGAGTCCTTGAAACTCTAGCCAAAGCAACTGGGCAGATGAAAGAAATTAAAGGGATATCACTAGGAAAAGAAGAGCTCAAACTATCCCTATTTGCTGACAACAGGATCCTATATTTAGAATACCACCCCCCCCCAAATACTCCACCAGAAAGTGTCTAGAAATGAATTCAGCAAAATAGCAGGATATAAAATTAGCACCCAAAAATCAATTATGTTCCTATACATCAATGATGAATCAGCTGAAAGAGAAATTAGGCAAACTATACTATTCACAATAGCTTCAAAAAGATAAAATACTTGGGAACCAATCTAACAAAAGACGTGAAACCTCTACAATAAAGACTATAGAACACTAAAGAAAGAAACTGAAGAAGACCTTAGAAGATGGAAAGATCTCCCATGTTCTTGTATAGACAAAATTAATATTGTCAAAAGGCCAAACTACTAAATTGCTATACAGATTGAATGTTATTCCTACTAAAACCCCAATGGCATCTGTTCATAGAAATAGAAAAAGCAGTCCTGAAATTCATTTGGAAAAATGAAAGGCCCAGAATAGCCAAAGCAGTCCTTAATGAGAATAGAGAAGCAGGAGGCATCACAATACCAGACCTTAAAATACTACAGAGCTATAGTAACGAAAACAGCATGGTATTGGCATCAAAACAGATACAAAGACCAATGAAATAGAATAGGACACAGAGAAAAACCCACATAAATACAGCTATCTTATACTAGACAAAGGTGCCATAAACATACATTGGAGAAAAGATATCTTCTTCAACAAATGGTACTGGTAAAACTGAAAATCCATATGTAGCAGGATTAAATTTAACTCCTATCTCTCATCTGCACAAAGTTCAACTCAAGGTGAATCAAGGACTTAGGCATTAGACCAGAGACCCTGTGCCTACTAAAAGAAAATGCAGGCCCAATTCTCCACCATGTTGGCTTAGGAACCGAATTCCTCTATGAGACTCCTAACAAAAAATAAAATCAAAAAAATCAATAAATGTGATGGTATCGATCAAGAAACTTCTTCACTGCAAAGAAAACAATCAATAACGTGAAGAGAGAGCCTAGAGATTGGGAGAAATATTTGCCACCTGCACCTCAAATAGAGCATTAATCTCCAGGATATTCAAAAAAACTTAAACCAAAAAACAAAACAACAACCAAAAAAACCCAATCAATCAATGCACAAAGGAACTGAACAGTACTTCACAGAAGAAAAAATACAAATGATCAACAAGTATATGAAAAAAAAATGTTCAACATCTCTGGCAATTGGAGAAATGCAAACTGAAACTACTCTAAGATTCCATCTCACTCCATCAGAATGGCAATTATTAAGAATACAAATAACAATAAATGTTGGTGAGGATGTGGGGAAAAAGGCACACTCATACATTGCCAGTGGGACTGCAAATTGATGCAAACACTCTGGAAAGCAGAATGGAGATTCCTCAGAAAACTTAGAATGGAATTACCATTTGACCCACCCATCCCACTCCTCAATTTATACCCATAGGACTTAAAAACAGCATACTACAGTGACACCGCCACATCAATGTTTACAGCAGCTCAATTCACAATAGCTAAGCTATGTAACTAACTCAGATGCCCTTCAACAGATATATACACACAATGGAATATCACTTGAGATATAAAAAGACTCAAGACTTTATGACTTTTGCCTRTAAATGGATGGATCTGGATGGAGACCATCATGCTCAATGAAATAAGTCAATCCCCAAAAAATGAGAGGCCAAAAGCTCTCTCTAATATGTGTGTGCTAACACACAGTGAGAGAATGGGGAAGAAAAGAAGTGCAGTGGATTAGACAAAGGGGAATGAAGGGAATGGACGGGGAATGAGAATAGGAAATACAGTAGAATGAATTGGACATAACTTTCCTATGTTCATTCAAATACACCACAGTGAATCTCCACCATGTACAACCACAAGAATGGGATCCTAATTAGAATAAGTGATACTCCATGTATGTATAACATGTCAAAGTACACTCTACTGTTATGAACATCAAAAAAAACTTAAAAAATAGAATCAAGGTTGTCTCTAAGGTTTGGGTTCTGAGCAACAGAAGGGATGAAATTAATGCTTTGTATTGAGTTGGGGTAGAATTCAGGAACAGCAAACTCTTGAAGAGAAATCGCGAGTTGGATTTGGAATGAGATGCTTGGACAACTGGATAGAAATGACGTGAAGGCTGACTGAGTGTCTGGAATTCACAAGAGATGTCAAAGATGAAGACATCAATATGGGAGTGTCTTTTTTTAAATGATGCCACAAACAATTGCCTCAACCCAAAGGAAAGATTGAGAAAGGAAAGTATCTCATCTCTGTGTGCAGCATCTTTGTGCTGAAGAAATTCCCTGATAATTTCTTGAGGAAAAGAGGGGCCCTCTGCCTCTATGAACTGAAGTTCTTTGAGGTGGTTTGTAGCCTACATGCTAAATTATTTCTTGCCAGAGGATAAAATCTTGTTTGGTTCATTTAATTAATACATACAAGTCACTTTGCTTATTGCTTGTTTTTTAGATAGATTACTTCTTATTTTTGATTAATAGTTTATCTCAGAAAGTGGTTCAGAATCACCCTAAATATTAACCTATGCCAACTCAGAGAGAGGTGGCAGTTTTATGGTTATGATAAATTTACAGTTCTAAGAAATAAACCAACACATACATTTGGCAGGCTAGCTACCTGTGCAAACAATCCCTAGGCACTTTTTTGCCTGACACGTTATCTTCTGGCTAACTCCATCCTTAACAAATAATAAGTGTTGACATGCTCAACCAACTTGTCTGAGAAATTTTGCTTTGAGTAAAAAGTACAAGACTGGATAAGGTCATCTAGATGCAGCTATACCCTAGAGGACTTCAACATTTGAGCTCAGAGATTAACAGAAGAACTATCAAGGAGGGAGGAGTTACTGATTTACTAAGGGGCAGCACTCATCATAAATATGCATTAATCCTTGTGACAGTCACACAGAGGAGGTGCTGTTCTCATTATCCCCCACCGCAGGGCATCATAACTAAGACTCTACAAGGTAAACATACTGTCCAAAGGTCCTACATGCCAAGATTACCTTTCAGTTTTAGTACATGTGATCTGGGTTTTCCTGCCTGTGCGTCCACTGCCAGTGACGTATGTGATGTGTTCCTGTTGGCAGTGGATGTGAAGTTCTTCGGGACGGTTCTGTTTTCCTAACAGGTGGGTACATGGAAGATTTGGAGGTGACTAAAGAAACCTCAGGCCCAGAAGCCTTTAAGTCAAGTTCCCTCCCAGAGGAGACCTATGATGATGTGGAGTACCCTAGGACAGATGGGTAAGTACTTTCCTCTCATTCAGCAAGATGCACTTGATGAGGCTTTGAAGGCTCGACAAATTAATGCTTTGTTCTCTATTTCACAGACCAAAGTTGGACTTCTCAGACAGTGGTAAGTGTGGGAGACAGTTCTGAAACTTCCAGGGATCATGTGTCTTCTAGTTTATATTCGTCTCTTTAATAATATAAGTTGGATGGGTTGAAGGTAAGCTAAGGGAAGTGGACCCAAGGTGTGTGCTTATAAGTGCAAGGAGGGCAGGTGAAGATTCTGGAAAGGGCGTTCCTGTGATAACAAGCAGTTTCCTTGCAACTGCTTCCCTCCTGATTCCTCCTGATCTAGTTTAACTAGAGGAATTTTTTTAAAACTTAAATGGTTTCATGGCTTCCCAGCACTTTTAGGATCCACCTTAACATGACTAGGGGCCTGTGTGGCTTCTGCAAATGCTATATTCAGTCTCCCCTTGATATCAGGCACAACAGCTTTCCAGGATTGCCCAAATCCCACTGCAGGATGTTTGCAAATGCTACCACCTCTTGGGGATAATGATAACAGTACCAGCTATGCGACTGATGCAAGGATTAAAGCATATTCATGATGAGTGCTGACCCCTAATAAACCAGCAACTCCTCCCTCTTTGCCAGGACCCTTTGCCTGAGTAAGCTTAGCTAGGAATATTCTTCCTGGTGAGCAGTCTTAAAGTACAGGGACATCTTTTTCATAGCACTTGCCTTAATTGTAAGTTTATACTTATGGGGCTCTTTGATAACTGTCTTCCCTCCTAGATTATTACCTGTTTGCTCAATGTTTCTCCTTCCCCTAGTGTAATGCTATATTTTAAAAAGATATATCTGCTGAATAAGTAAATGAATGGAAAAATAATGGGGAGGTATTAATCAAAGGATACAAACTGTCAGAATAAGTTCAGGATATCTACTGTATAATAATCAAAACATTATGATTTCATTTAATAACAAGTATACCCAGAAATTGCCGAAAGTAGATTTTTAAAAATTTTTAAATGTTTTTTAGTTATCAATAGACCTTTATTTATTTATATGTGGTGCTGAGAACTGAACCCAGGGCCTCACATGTGTTAGGCAAGCGCTCTACCACTGAGCCACAACTCTAGCCCATCTTAAGGTTCTCATCACAAAAAAAAAGTATCTGAGGTAAAAGATATGCTAAGTAGCTTGATTTAGTTTTTCTGCAATGTATATGGTTGACAAAAACATGATTTGGTAAACACCATAAATATACACAATTTTGCCAATTAAAAATAATAATTTAAAAAATTAAAAAGCAATGGAGATAATCATATATTACCCTGGTTGGGTTTCTTCTTAGAATCTTTGACTTTTAGATGGAGAAGCTACATTAGAGAAAATTATATCCAATACTGTCATTTTAAAAAGAAAACTGAGGCACAGAGAAAGTTATGTGACCCCTTATGCTCATTATGTGTTAAGTCAAGTTTGTAACCTCAAAATTCAGACCCTTAATCCAATGTTCTTTCCATTAGACTGTGTTGTCAGGGTAGAATTAACAACTATCTGTGTATGTAAGCTTATGTGTTATGGTAGACTAAGGCCATGCTTAGACCAGAGAGATTATTCAAAAACTATCTGGTTTCCCATCATTTTCCCAGCATTAGGCACAGTGTCTCATGCTTAAAAGGCTATGTGTTATGTGCTAAATATGGGAAGAAGGGAGGGTGAAAGGAGGCAATCTTGATAAATTAACTTTCTTTTGATAAATCAGAACAGACCTGGAATCAGGGTTGGAAGTGAGTCTTAATTTTCATTTGTACATAATTTTAAAGAAGTTTAAATATTTTTATTTCATGCTTATAGAAACGTGCATAAGTTCCACTACAAACTACTTAAAGAAGGATCAAAATGCTTTGCACCTAATAGAAACTCAGTAACTTTTGTTAAATATTAATCTGAACTACTATAATTATAATGAATGATAATAATTTTTTTTTACTTTCAGAAGAAAATAGTGAAGAAATGTATGAAGATATCTACAAAACAAAAAGCAACTACCCCAAAATAGAGTGAGTTTCTCTTTGTTGGCTTTGAAGTTCAATGGTATTTCCTGTTGGTCCAGTAAATATGAGCTTCAACAATGATCCCTGTCCCCAGTACCCACCTTTACTAAAGGGAGGATTCACATAGAAAGTTGTGGTGAGTGATTAGAATACTACATTGTGATGAATAGGATATTTGTGATTATGTAGAATCATACACCACAAATTTAAATACATTGCTTTCTCTTGTGAGAAAACGTCTACTTCCCCAAATAGAGAACGTTGATACTGTATAAGGAAATAAATAAGAAAGGAGAAGTAAATATCAATAAAATTTGCTTCAATTCTGTAGTTGCTTTGCGAGGGAAAAAAAATCAATGATTACAGCTTACCTTTGCCAGTCTCTGGGATTTGAGATTAATTTAATATCTAATAACTCACTGTTACCAAGAACAATATTTGTTCCAATGGACATTATTTTTCAAATATTTATAAAGAGCACATTGCCGAAAGGGAAATGTTAAAAGCAAGAAGTTTGAGGGTTAAAGGATAGGGGATTGAGGTTATCACTCCCATACCCCTCACAAACCCCAAAAGGATACTGGGAGAATTTTAATCATCAACCGGACAGTCAGTGTATCACCATTGTTGCAATATTAAGTAAGTTGAAAATCAGCACTGTGAATTTCAGAAGCCAGAAATTCCTATATTTCTAGTGCCGTTTGTAGCCTATGCTCCCGTTATCTTGCTCCATAAACTGTGCAAAAATAGACACTATTTGCGATGAATGAAAGTTTGTGCTGCAATGTAATTACTCCCTTCACGGTTGACTGGTGTCTGCTACTTCATGTTAGAATCTAAGCAAAGAAAAGCAGAGTAGTTGATAAGGCATTTTCTTTCCCTTCCTTGAGTAGGGTGTTCTGAAAATGAGACCACAGCCTCTGGTTCTCTTTACAGCAGCCTTCGTCTCTAAGACTCTCTCAAGTGCCATGTTGTTTATCTTCTGATTCCTCATAGTTTAGATGGAAAAGAAGCCCTTAAAAGACTGCAGCAATTCTTCAGAAAGGAAAAAGGTAGATTTAAAATGAAGAAAACCAAGTCAAAAGAAAATGCAAGGTAAAAAGTACCATTTTTCTCTCTTCAGGGAGGGATTAACAGTGCTGGCCTGGTAGACACACAGGTTGATGTCTTCCACCCAGTTCTCAAGAGACAGGAAGGAGTGTCAGAAACTAAAACCAATGGCTGAGCAAACTGCCTCTGTGCTACTAATGAGAAAGTGGCATGCCCCTCTTGAAAAAATTGATGATAAAAGGTTGTAAACAAGGATAGAGGGAAAGTCTTATGCAAGCAAAGCCAAGAACAGAAAATTCTGTCATTGTCTAGGCATCTACACACATTGTTATCGCTAAGCACTGTTATTAATTATGTCCTTGTATGCTTTCTTGGCCCAGGTTCCAGCAGTTTTATTTGTCTACACTTCTATATTTGTCTTGAGAGCAGTAATGTGTGGAATGAGGAGATGAACTATTCAACTGAATAGTTTGTGTATCTCAAAAGTCTTGAACCTAGGAAGGATAACTCAGGCTAACTGCCTGTCTTTGGAGAGGTTCCAAATGCACTGGCAGTGAAAGAGCCTAGGGTTCTGGATTCCAGTTTCACTTCTGCCATTTACTCAATTTGCAACCAGGGGCAAATCACTTCCATGTGTATCACAGGGATGCAGTTTCCTCCTGCATCCAGGGAGGAGGGAATTGTGTAGCTTCCAGACATAACTCTCTCAGATGTAGGTACACATCTGTATTTTGTGAGGGCTGGTAAAATAATTAACTAGGACCATTACCTATGTTAGGGTGGAATCATGCTATTCTATTCTGAAGTTGTTATAGACATAATGCTCTGATGTATGGTTTTAATCCAGTTGAAGCTAAACCTACCAAGAGATCCATCAGAACATGGCTTTTCTATAACATAGTCCTGATTATGACAAAAGAGGTATGCTCTAGTAATTTATTTTTAGTCTCCCTTACAAAACTCCAAGCCATTTCAGGCAGAAACTGTGGATGTAATCATTTCATATATTTATCACAAAGGCCTGGTGCATGGTGGGTGCTCCAAAAATACCCATAGGGGAGAATTTAAATTGAAGGCTTAAAATACATAGGTACTTCTATGTTATCTCCTTAATGGTGAGGTGTGAAGTGCACCAAACAATCTAGCTGGGCCACACGCCTTTTCTCATTTAGAAATTCACCATCTTACATTTCTACCTGGCCTGGCTTTCTTCCTAAAAGTCCCCTTTTGGCTTAAATAACATAGGCAGAATGCAGTGTCTACAGAGATCCCATTAATTCATCAGTAAGTTGTTCTGTCTCACAAACACTTACCCACATATGTAATGTGTCATATTAGCCTCTTGGAAGGTTAGTAGACAGGCACAGGATTCTGTGGATGGAGAAGCTCAGGGCTGCAGGGGCAGTCTGGAGTTGTCTAGGTAAGAAATGGAGTACTGGCCATCAGTGGGGATTCATTCATTTTGAATAGGTTTGGGGTGGGGGCGGGTGTGATCAGAACAAAGCTGCAGGAGGTTTGCTTCACAGCTTTCCCTGGAAGCACCATATGGATTGGGACCCCTAGTAATCAATGTTTGTTGAGCTCATTTTTTGAACATGACTTTTTTCCACTTGACCTTTTTGTGTCTTTTGTCAATCAACAGTGCATTTTCCATTTCGCTGCCTGATTTAGGTAAGTGACATTTACTTGTTGCTGACCCAAATTACTCTGCATTGGTATATTCAAGGACAGGGAAAGAGATGTGGTAATCCTTCCTTCCTATATTGCCACAATCAAGGAAAAATGGGCCCATCAAAATCAAAGAAGATATCAAATGACAGTATTTCTTACTTTGGGAAAGATAAGAAACACTTTGTGGGTAATACCTTATACCATACTTGGAACAGATGTTTTGCTCTTAAAATCCCCCCAAAATAGATATTTTTGTCCCTTTTTAGGGAGGTGCTAGGGATTTGTAAGCAGGTCTCTCTAACTATAAAATTCATGTATTTTGCATTATACCACATACCTCTTGGTGGATTTGATAGAATTATTTATTATGAAATAATGAATTGAATATGATCACACTGCAGCCTGCACACTAACTGAATCAAGAATGGGTCCTTGAACTATTGTCTGCTTTGCCATTAAAACACTGAAAACATTACCAGTGTTAATTACTACTTGACAGTGTTCTAAAAACATGTTCAAACACTGAATTTGCCAACAAGAGGGGCTCATGTTTAGTTGTTCACTGGTTTTGTTTATGGGCTAAGATATACAGCAATTTTGATTTCACTCCTAATACTCTGAATGTATGTTATATTCCACAAATATGAGTTTGCCAATCTAAATAACAAAAATTATATACCTGTAAAATCACAGGTTTCCCAACATACACTCTGCATGGTAGTGTGCTTGTGTTGGGTGTGTGTTTAAAGCCAACTTAGAATACAAATGCATCCCAATTCTGACTGTTTCCTAGTCTAGTCAGAAAGACTTGGGTTTAGCATTCCTAATCCAACATTAAAAAATTTGAAATACTCCAAAATCCAAAACTTTGTGAATGTTGACATGATGTCACAAGTGGAAAACTCCACACTGATCTCATGTGACAGGGTTGAAGTCAAAGAGCAGGCACATGTCACCAGGGGTGGTGGTGCACACCTGTAATACCAGTGGCTTATGACACTGAAGCAGGAGGATCATGAGTTCAAAGCCAGCTTCTGCAAAAGCAAGGAACTAAGCAATTCAGTGAGACCCTGTCTCTAAATAAAATACAAAATAGAGCTGGGCATGTGGCTTAGTGATTGAGAGCCCCTGAGTTCAATCCTAGTACCAAAAAAAAAAAAAAAAAAAAAAAAAAAAAAAAAAGCACACTAAAAAAATGTATAAAATTGCTTTTAGGTAGGTATATATGATGCACATGAAACACAAACAAATTCTGAGTTTAGATTTGGGTCCTATCANTAAATGGATGGATCTGGATGGAGACCATCATGCTCAATGAAATAAGTCAATCCCCAAAAAATGAGAGGCCAAAAGCTCTCTCTAATATGTGTGTGCTAACACACAGTGAGAGAATGGGGAAGAAAAGAAGTGCAGTGGATTAGACAAAGGGGAATGAAGGGAATGGACGGGGAATGAGAATAGGAAATACAGTAGAATGAATTGGACATAACTTTCCTATGTTCATTCAAATACACCACAGTGAATCTCCACCATGTACAACCACAAGAATGGGATCCTAATTAGAATAAGTGATACTCCATGTATGTATAACATGTCAAAGTACACTCTACTGTTATGAACATCAAAAAAAACTTAAAAAATAGAATCAAGGTTGTCTCTAAGGTTTGGGTTCTGAGCAACAGAAGGGATGAAATTAATGCTTTGTATTGAGTTGGGGTAGAATTCAGGAACAGCAAACTCTTGAAGAGAAATCGCGAGTTGGATTTGGAATGAGATGCTTGGACAACTGGATAGAAATGACGTGAAGGCTGACTGAGTGTCTGGAATTCACAAGAGATGTCAAAGATGAAGACATCAATATGGGAGTGTCTTTTTTTAAATGATGCCACAAACAATTGCCTCAACCCAAAGGAAAGATTGAGAAAGGAAAGTATCTCATCTCTGTGTGCAGCATCTTTGTGCTGAAGAAATTCCCTGATAATTTCTTGAGGAAAAGAGGGGCCCTCTGCCTCTATGAACTGAAGTTCTTTGAGGTGGTTTGTAGCCTACATGCTAAATTATTTCTTGCCAGAGGATAAAATCTTGTTTGGTTCATTTAATTAATACATACAAGTCACTTTGCTTATTGCTTGTTTTTTAGATAGATTACTTCTTATTTTTGATTAATAGTTTATCTCAGAAAGTGGTTCAGAATCACCCTAAATATTAACCTATGCCAACTCAGAGAGAGGTGGCAGTTTTATGGTTATGATAAATTTACAGTTCTAAGAAATAAACCAACACATACATTTGGCAGGCTAGCTACCTGTGCAAACAATCCCTAGGCACTTTTTTGCCTGACACGTTATCTTCTGGCTAACTCCATCCTTAACAAATAATAAGTGTTGACATGCTCAACCAACTTGTCTGAGAAATTTTGCTTTGAGTAAAAAGTACAAGACTGGATAAGGTCATCTAGATGCAGCTATACCCTAGAGGACTTCAACATTTGAGCTCAGAGATTAACAGAAGAACTATCAAGGAGGGAGGAGTTACTGATTTACTAAGGGGCAGCACTCATCATAAATATGCATTAATCCTTGTGACAGTCACACAGAGGAGGTGCTGTTCTCATTATCCCCCACCGCAGGGCATCATAACTAAGACTCTACAAGGTAAACATACTGTCCAAAGGTCCTACATGCCAAGATTACCTTTCAGTTTTAGTACATGTGATCTGGGTTTTCCTGCCTGTGCGTCCACTGCCAGTGACGTATGTGATGTGTTCCTGTTGGCAGTGGATGTGAAGTTCTTCGGGACGGTTCTGTTTTCCTAACAGGTGGGTACATGGAAGATTTGGAGGTGACTAAAGAAACCTCAGGCCCAGAAGCCTTTAAGTCAAGTTCCCTCCCAGAGGAGACCTATGATGATGTGGAGTACCCTAGGACAGATGGGTAAGTACTTTCCTCTCATTCAGCAAGATGCACTTGATGAGGCTTTGAAGGCTCGACAAATTAATGCTTTGTTCTCTATTTCACAGACCAAAGTTGGACTTCTCAGACAGTGGTAAGTGTGGGAGACAGTTCTGAAACTTCCAGGGATCATGTGTCTTCTAGTTTATATTCGTCTCTTTAATAATATAAGTTGGATGGGTTGAAGGTAAGCTAAGGGAAGTGGACCCAAGGTGTGTGCTTATAAGTGCAAGGAGGGCAGGTGAAGATTCTGGAAAGGGCGTTCCTGTGATAACAAGCAGTTTCCTTGCAACTGCTTCCCTCCTGATTCCTCCTGATCTAGTTTAACTAGAGGAATTTTTTTAAAACTTAAATGGTTTCATGGCTTCCCAGCACTTTTAGGATCCACCTTAACATGACTAGGGGCCTGTGTGGCTTCTGCAAATGCTATATTCAGTCTCCCCTTGATATCAGGCACAACAGCTTTCCAGGATTGCCCAAATCCCACTGCAGGATGTTTGCAAATGCTACCACCTCTTGGGGATAATGATAACAGTACCAGCTATGCGACTGATGCAAGGATTAAAGCATATTCATGATGAGTGCTGACCCCTAATAAACCAGCAACTCCTCCCTCTTTGCCAGGACCCTTTGCCTGAGTAAGCTTAGCTAGGAATATTCTTCCTGGTGAGCAGTCTTAAAGTACAGGGACATCTTTTTCATAGCACTTGCCTTAATTGTAAGTTTATACTTATGGGGCTCTTTGATAACTGTCTTCCCTCCTAGATTATTACCTGTTTGCTCAATGTTTCTCCTTCCCCTAGTGTAATGCTATATTTTAAAAAGATATATCTGCTGAATAAGTAAATGAATGGAAAAATAATGGGGAGGTATTAATCAAAGGATACAAACTGTCAGAATAAGTTCAGGATATCTACTGTATAATAATCAAAACATTATGATTTCATTTAATAACAAGTATACCCAGAAATTGCCGAAAGTAGATTTTTAAAAATTTTTAAATGTTTTTTAGTTATCAATAGACCTTTATTTATTTATATGTGGTGCTGAGAACTGAACCCAGGGCCTCACATGTGTTAGGCAAGCGCTCTACCACTGAGCCACAACTCTAGCCCATCTTAAGGTTCTCATCACAAAAAAAAAGTATCTGAGGTAAAAGATATGCTAAGTAGCTTGATTTAGTTTTTCTGCAATGTATATGGTTGACAAAAACATGATTTGGTAAACACCATAAATATACACAATTTTGCCAATTAAAAATAATAATTTAAAAAATTAAAAAGCAATGGAGATAATCATATATTACCCTGGTTGGGTTTCTTCTTAGAATCTTTGACTTTTAGATGGAGAAGCTACATTAGAGAAAATTATATCCAATACTGTCATTTTAAAAAGAAAACTGAGGCACAGAGAAAGTTATGTGACCCCTTATGCTCATTATGTGTTAAGTCAAGTTTGTAACCTCAAAATTCAGACCCTTAATCCAATGTTCTTTCCATTAGACTGTGTTGTCAGGGTAGAATTAACAACTATCTGTGTATGTAAGCTTATGTGTTATGGTAGACTAAGGCCATGCTTAGACCAGAGAGATTATTCAAAAACTATCTGGTTTCCCATCATTTTCCCAGCATTAGGCACAGTGTCTCATGCTTAAAAGGCTATGTGTTATGTGCTAAATATGGGAAGAAGGGAGGGTGAAAGGAGGCAATCTTGATAAATTAACTTTCTTTTGATAAATCAGAACAGACCTGGAATCAGGGTTGGAAGTGAGTCTTAATTTTCATTTGTACATAATTTTAAAGAAGTTTAAATATTTTTATTTCATGCTTATAGAAACGTGCATAAGTTCCACTACAAACTACTTAAAGAAGGATCAAAATGCTTTGCACCTAATAGAAACTCAGTAACTTTTGTTAAATATTAATCTGAACTACTATAATTATAATGAATGATAATAATTTTTTTTTACTTTCAGAAGAAAATAGTGAAGAAATGTATGAAGATATCTACAAAACAAAAAGCAACTACCCCAAAATAGAGTGAGTTTCTCTTTGTTGGCTTTGAAGTTCAATGGTATTTCCTGTTGGTCCAGTAAATATGAGCTTCAACAATGATCCCTGTCCCCAGTACCCACCTTTACTAAAGGGAGGATTCACATAGAAAGTTGTGGTGAGTGATTAGAATACTACATTGTGATGAATAGGATATTTGTGATTATGTAGAATCATACACCACAAATTTAAATACATTGCTTTCTCTTGTGAGAAAACGTCTACTTCCCCAAATAGAGAACGTTGATACTGTATAAGGAAATAAATAAGAAAGGAGAAGTAAATATCAATAAAATTTGCTTCAATTCTGTAGTTGCTTTGCGAGGGAAAAAAAATCAATGATTACAGCTTACCTTTGCCAGTCTCTGGGATTTGAGATTAATTTAATATCTAATAACTCACTGTTACCAAGAACAATATTTGTTCCAATGGACATTATTTTTCAAATATTTATAAAGAGCACATTGCCGAAAGGGAAATGTTAAAAGCAAGAAGTTTGAGGGTTAAAGGATAGGGGATTGAGGTTATCACTCCCATACCCCTCACAAACCCCAAAAGGATACTGGGAGAATTTTAATCATCAACCGGACAGTCAGTGTATCACCATTGTTGCAATATTAAGTAAGTTGAAAATCAGCACTGTGAATTTCAGAAGCCAGAAATTCCTATATTTCTAGTGCCGTTTGTAGCCTATGCTCCCGTTATCTTGCTCCATAAACTGTGCAAAAATAGACACTATTTGCGATGAATGAAAGTTTGTGCTGCAATGTAATTACTCCCTTCACGGTTGACTGGTGTCTGCTACTTCATGTTAGAATCTAAGCAAAGAAAAGCAGAGTAGTTGATAAGGCATTTTCTTTCCCTTCCTTGAGTAGGGTGTTCTGAAAATGAGACCACAGCCTCTGGTTCTCTTTACAGCAGCCTTCGTCTCTAAGACTCTCTCAAGTGCCATGTTGTTTATCTTCTGATTCCTCATAGTTTAGATGGAAAAGAAGCCCTTAAAAGACTGCAGCAATTCTTCAGAAAGGAAAAAGGTAGATTTAAAATGAAGAAAACCAAGTCAAAAGAAAATGCAAGGTAAAAAGTACCATTTTTCTCTCTTCAGGGAGGGATTAACAGTGCTGGCCTGGTAGACACACAGGTTGATGTCTTCCACCCAGTTCTCAAGAGACAGGAAGGAGTGTCAGAAACTAAAACCAATGGCTGAGCAAACTGCCTCTGTGCTACTAATGAGAAAGTGGCATGCCCCTCTTGAAAAAATTGATGATAAAAGGTTGTAAACAAGGATAGAGGGAAAGTCTTATGCAAGCAAAGCCAAGAACAGAAAATTCTGTCATTGTCTAGGCATCTACACACATTGTTATCGCTAAGCACTGTTATTAATTATGTCCTTGTATGCTTTCTTGGCCCAGGTTCCAGCAGTTTTATTTGTCTACACTTCTATATTTGTCTTGAGAGCAGTAATGTGTGGAATGAGGAGATGAACTATTCAACTGAATAGTTTGTGTATCTCAAAAGTCTTGAACCTAGGAAGGATAACTCAGGCTAACTGCCTGTCTTTGGAGAGGTTCCAAATGCACTGGCAGTGAAAGAGCCTAGGGTTCTGGATTCCAGTTTCACTTCTGCCATTTACTCAATTTGCAACCAGGGGCAAATCACTTCCATGTGTATCACAGGGATGCAGTTTCCTCCTGCATCCAGGGAGGAGGGAATTGTGTAGCTTCCAGACATAACTCTCTCAGATGTAGGTACACATCTGTATTTTGTGAGGGCTGGTAAAATAATTAACTAGGACCATTACCTATGTTAGGGTGGAATCATGCTATTCTATTCTGAAGTTGTTATAGACATAATGCTCTGATGTATGGTTTTAATCCAGTTGAAGCTAAACCTACCAAGAGATCCATCAGAACATGGCTTTTCTATAACATAGTCCTGATTATGACAAAAGAGGTATGCTCTAGTAATTTATTTTTAGTCTCCCTTACAAAACTCCAAGCCATTTCAGGCAGAAACTGTGGATGTAATCATTTCATATATTTATCACAAAGGCCTGGTGCATGGTGGGTGCTCCAAAAATACCCATAGGGGAGAATTTAAATTGAAGGCTTAAAATACATAGGTACTTCTATGTTATCTCCTTAATGGTGAGGTGTGAAGTGCACCAAACAATCTAGCTGGGCCACACGCCTTTTCTCATTTAGAAATTCACCATCTTACATTTCTACCTGGCCTGGCTTTCTTCCTAAAAGTCCCCTTTTGGCTTAAATAACATAGGCAGAATGCAGTGTCTACAGAGATCCCATTAATTCATCAGTAAGTTGTTCTGTCTCACAAACACTTACCCACATATGTAATGTGTCATATTAGCCTCTTGGAAGGTTAGTAGACAGGCACAGGATTCTGTGGATGGAGAAGCTCAGGGCTGCAGGGGCAGTCTGGAGTTGTCTAGGTAAGAAATGGAGTACTGGCCATCAGTGGGGATTCATTCATTTTGAATAGGTTTGGGGTGGGGGCGGGTGTGATCAGAACAAAGCTGCAGGAGGTTTGCTTCACAGCTTTCCCTGGAAGCACCATATGGATTGGGACCCCTAGTAATCAATGTTTGTTGAGCTCATTTTTTGAACATGACTTTTTTCCACTTGACCTTTTTGTGTCTTTTGTCAATCAACAGTGCATTTTCCATTTCGCTGCCTGATTTAGGTAAGTGACATTTACTTGTTGCTGACCCAAATTACTCTGCATTGGTATATTCAAGGACAGGGAAAGAGATGTGGTAATCCTTCCTTCCTATATTGCCACAATCAAGGAAAAATGGGCCCATCAAAATCAAAGAAGATATCAAATGACAGTATTTCTTACTTTGGGAAAGATAAGAAACACTTTGTGGGTAATACCTTATACCATACTTGGAACAGATGTTTTGCTCTTAAAATCCCCCCAAAATAGATATTTTTGTCCCTTTTTAGGGAGGTGCTAGGGATTTGTAAGCAGGTCTCTCTAACTATAAAATTCATGTATTTTGCATTATACCACATACCTCTTGGTGGATTTGATAGAATTATTTATTATGAAATAATGAATTGAATATGATCACACTGCAGCCTGCACACTAACTGAATCAAGAATGGGTCCTTGAACTATTGTCTGCTTTGCCATTAAAACACTGAAAACATTACCAGTGTTAATTACTACTTGACAGTGTTCTAAAAACATGTTCAAACACTGAATTTGCCAACAAGAGGGGCTCATGTTTAGTTGTTCACTGGTTTTGTTTATGGGCTAAGATATACAGCAATTTTGATTTCACTCCTAATACTCTGAATGTATGTTATATTCCACAAATATGAGTTTGCCAATCTAAATAACAAAAATTATATACCTGTAAAATCACAGGTTTCCCAACATACACTCTGCATGGTAGTGTGCTTGTGTTGGGTGTGTGTTTAAAGCCAACTTAGAATACAAATGCATCCCAATTCTGACTGTTTCCTAGTCTAGTCAGAAAGACTTGGGTTTAGCATTCCTAATCCAACATTAAAAAATTTGAAATACTCCAAAATCCAAAACTTTGTGAATGTTGACATGATGTCACAAGTGGAAAACTCCACACTGATCTCATGTGACAGGGTTGAAGTCAAAGAGCAGGCACATGTCACCAGGGGTGGTGGTGCACACCTGTAATACCAGTGGCTTATGACACTGAAGCAGGAGGATCATGAGTTCAAAGCCAGCTTCTGCAAAAGCAAGGAACTAAGCAATTCAGTGAGACCCTGTCTCTAAATAAAATACAAAATAGAGCTGGGCATGTGGCTTAGTGATTGAGAGCCCCTGAGTTCAATCCAAAAAAAAAAAAAAAAAAAAAAAAAAAAAAAAAAAAAGTAGGCACACTAAAAAAATGTATAAAATTGCTTTTAGGTAGGTATATATGATGCACATGAAACACAAACAAATTCTGAGTTTAGATTTGGGTCCTATCACTAAGATATCTCATTTGTATATGCAAATATCCCAGAATCCAAAAAGAATTGAAATCCAAAACTTCTGTTCCAAAGCATTTCAAATAAAGGATAGTCAATCTGTACCCCTATCCATATTTAAGGATAGTCAATCTGTACCCCTATCCATATTTAAAGGTACTGAAGAAAATAATTTAAAAAATGAATGATTGTAAATAATTGAATATAAATTATGATTATGCCAAAATGGCTCAAACTTTTTCAAATGGAAATCACCTGAAAATCATGTAATCCTATGTAGGGTTCCAAAGAATGTAAATATCATAAACTAAAAAGGTCTAATTATGATTATGTACTAAGAATCAATGTATTATTATTATAAAGGTTATCAATGGTTTGATTTAAAAGATTTCATGAAAGAAAAAAATCAACATTAATATTCTACTAAATTTGTTTTTTTCCCTGCTTTGGGAATTAAGAAAAGCCCTCAACCAGTAGAAATCTTTTTCCAGTTCTAGAAAAAAGGAAACCTCTTCTAAAAATGATTCTCCCAGCAAGTTCATATTTTTATGAATTCTGCATGAAATCATATTGATATTAATACATTTATTAATCACTATTTTGTTAACAGCTCAGTTGAATTTCTTTGCAAAAAAGAACCTTTTTGTTCCAGCTCATCTATAATCAGATTGATAAAATAGGCTCATGGATACACTCAGATATTTGGGTAGTTGTATATAATTTGGAAATCCAAAGGTTGTATAAAACATACCTAATAATGAACTATTTTGATCCTATCTTGACCCTTTAGAACTTAGGTCTCAGGAAGTTATTATCTATGATGATGTGGACATAAGTGAAAAAGAGTCAAAGTAAGTCAATTTACCACACTGGTCATCCCTGCTGCCACCTGACCCATTTCCTGATGCTTTCTTAAATACGTTCAGAGAACCACCTCTCCAGATCCATGGGGACCAGAGAAAGAATAATAGTCCCTGCACAACTAAAGAAAAATGATGAAAAGCAGGTAATCCAACAGTGGTAGTGACCCAAGAGGCAGAGGAGCTCTGGAATTTGTTTTTATTATCTTTGAATCTGGAGGCTTGCCACATTTATTTAATAACCTATGTAGATGGTAGCATGCAGAATAGCAAAGAAAATTTGACAAGAATTAAATAACTGTAATCTATAAAGAAAGAAGGGAAAGAAACCATCCTAACTCGGTGTCCCCTGTCTTTTCCTTCAACCCAATGGCTGGAAATGGAGGTCTCCTCTGATTCTCTTCAATTCATCTTTCCCTGCTCACTGAAATTAGACTTCTGCCTCTATCATACCAATGAACTTACATTTTGTAAGATCACTAGTAACTCCTTTGTTAAATCCCAGGAATACTTTTAAATCATTATCTTACTTGGCTTCTCAATACTCTTAAACTGTTGATTATACCATCCACGAAAGGGGGGGAAATACTAACTTTTCCTTGGTTTCCATGTTATCGTTATTTTTTTCTTCTTTGCCTGCTTCTAATAAGTGTATGTGTGTGTGTTTGTGTGTGTATGCGTGTGTGTGAGAGAGAAAAATAATGCTTGAAAAAAATCTATTTCAGTGCAATTTATAAAAAGATGATGTTTCAAACAAGCTAAATGCCCAAATATACAGTAATCTGCTGAGTGTATTAAAATATTCAACATGGCTACTTAATATGCTGAATGTATGGTGAATAGTTTCCAGTGACATGGATAAACATACTATAAGGACAATTAGAAACAATGCAAAACTGTATGCACACAGTATACTCTCAATTCTGTTTTTAAAAGTGGAAAAACGCTGAGAAAAAAATGGATGTTTTTAAGAGGTTAGATTATGCTTATTTCTATGACCAAGATAAGTTACCTTAATTCTCTCATCATTCATTTTCTTCTTTGTAAACTCTATGAATGACTAAAGGACTCATGCAGAACCTACTATGAAAAAACAAATGAGTTAACATATAAATGCCCAAAAGACCACCTCACACAGAAGTGCTCAAATAGAAATCCTTCTAATACCCTTTCTTTTCCAGCATCCTCTTCTGCCCTGACCTCAAATGCTAAACACTAGTTGGTTTAGACTTGTCTCATGGCAAAGTTTAGTATTATTCACATTTTAAAGGCAAAGAAACAGGCTCAAGAGATGTGATTATAAGAAGGTTGATCTCTTGCTTCCGGTTTCAAATCTGGATCACTGTAGAACAGGGGGGTCAGCAAATGATGGCCTGTGAGCCAAGTGTGGCCTGCCACAAGTTTTTTTTTTTTTTTTAAATAAAACCACAACAGTTGAACAGTTACCGTGGATATGATGGTCTGCAAAGCCTAAACTATGTACTATATGGCTTTGCATAGGCTACAAAATGTATTTCTACATGACTTATCTTTCTTTAATAAAACAATTGCCCAGAAAGTACTGATAATTCCATAAATGTTTAATATTTAAATTTTAATTTACTTGTTCAAATATTTTTCTCCTCAGAGATGAAGATAAAATAAAAACTTGGAAGCCCAAGTTTTTGGTATCAAAGGGGAAAAAAGATAAGAAAGGTGTTGATGTATCGGAAAGGTATGAACACAAGTGCACTTGCATTACAGCTTCTCTGCTGCAGTTTATACCTTTTAATGAGCTGGGTGACCTTAGGCAAGTCATTAAATTGGATTCGCAGATTTCTCATCATAGTAGAACTGAAAGGATTAAAATAAAAAGATAAAAAAAAAGTCATGTACCATACACATTTATCCTCCCTTTATTCCTCCCTTATTTTTGGTGTGAAGAAAGATTTCAAGTTAGCCCTTATCAAAGAATGAAAAATTTCCAGTCTCCTTTTAAGCTGTATGAACTTTCTCCCCATAAGGCATAACTTAACAGAATACACCAATTATCTGTTGCAAAACTCGGAGAAAATCAGAAACTAGGTATTACACAATAAGCCTGATTTTCCTAAAATACAATTCTACAATTTTATTTTAAAAATTGTAAAAGAACATCTTATCAATTCAAGATCCAACTTCTTTCAGGTGATGCAAATTCTCTGTTGCCCACTGGGAGAGGCGGGGTTTTACCCGACTCCAGTTTACCTAGTGCTCTGGCTCCCTTCTCAGTTAAGAACATGGAGTAGGCTCTAAGGGACTTTAACAAATTTCTTGGAGAAATCCTTGGTAAACAGTCACAGAGCTGTGAACACTGTATGGTCTGTCTGTTCTGGGAAACCTGTCTGAAAAGTCTCACTGGGGCACCCCCAAAGAAGTCACACATTGGTCTGAACCAAATCTAAGTTCAGTGGATAGCAAAGGATGGCCCTTAAGTTTATTTTCTTTGGGCTTAGATTTGATGTAATTTATTTGTCCCCAGTTGGAAAGATGTATTCATAGACTAAAAAAGAGACCCTTTTCCCTTAAAGTTCATACTTATAAAATGTTTGTAGAGCATAGCACAACAAAATTCCAAGAAGGGGTATATCAGCATAATTTTTGACTATGTTGATAATTACAAATAAGTTCTAAGGAAATAATTTCCTAGTTTTTTTTATATTTTATAACTGACATAATAGTGTTTTTACTCTCAACTGAATAAACTTGAAAATGTGATAGGCTGTCATTAATCCTACAGAGGTGCCAATTTCTATGTGCTCTTTGATCCTTTTAAAATGGTCTCTATCACAACTTATTCTACCAATAAAATTTTTAAAAAAGCTTTCTCTATGACTTCAGCCCTTTTATCATGCTTTGATTAATCAAAAAATGACAGCAAATTCTAAGAGAAATTGGCAAGGGTATCCAGATGTAAAATATGGAAAATGCAGTCCACTTTCTAAGATGACCCAAGTAGACAATGCACATGTAGGGTAAAGGGCAGCTCACAAAGCTGGGAAGGTAGATTGAAGCAGATCTGGACTTTTCTTCTGGGCAGCAGAGAGACATTGAAAGGTTTTAAGGAAAAACAAGTAGCATGATTAATTAAATTACTGAAAGATGGCCATGGAAGCAGGGATGCAGATGGACTTTTTAAAAGAGGGATAAGAAAATGCTATTTCAGGCCAGAAGCACTGATAGTCAGAAACATGGCAGTGACTATAATCTTGGAAAGAAACAGATATAAGAGACACTTCAGAATAAAACTGACAGGACCTGGGTGACTTTTCATTCTGTCAATATATTAAACTCCCTGAAGCAAAACCAAACCCATGTGCAAAGCAAAAGGGAGAGCAAGGGAGGAGTCATGACCAGCTTCCGCTATATGAGCCCCATTTATGTGGTTATATACCACATTTATATGCTCTAATTCTTGAACAGTTGATAAGAATTTTGCTTTATTAATTCTATCCATCTCCCCATTCAGCACATAGGATAGTTCTTTGAGCCATGTAGAATTGTGGGTCCACAATTATGTTTGAAAAGTTGAAACCATAACCTGTAAGCCCTTTACTCACTGTTCCTGGTTTCTATTAAATAATCTGAAGTTGAGTGGGAAAGTTGATAAATTTGTTTCTCTTAAAAAAATACTTAATTTTGCTTTCAGGTCTAATTCAGAGAAGTTCCTTGTTTACCTTAAATTGTCTGATCAAACTTATTTTTTTAATTTTTATTTTTGACACAATAATTATATTTGTGGTGCATAGTATGACATTTCAGTATATGTATAAAATGCATAAATGGCACATCCATCACCTTAAACATTTGTCATTTGTAGTGGTAACGTTAAAAATTCTCTACTAGCTATTGTGAAATATATGCTTAATTGCCACCATCCATACTATCCAATGCCACTCTTATACCCATTAACCATCCTCTACCAACTTGATTTTATTCCATATTATTTTGTCATCAAAAATATTTTTTAGCTTTGGAGATGTAGCTCAGTGGTAGATTGGGCACTAAGTGTATGCAAGGCCCTGGGTTCAACCCCCAGTACCACAAAAAAAGAAAACAAAATATATGGAGCTAGAGGTATAGCTCAGTGTAGAGTGCTTTCCTAGCATGCACAAGGCCCTGGATTTTATTTCCAACATCAAAATAAAACACACACATACACACAAATGTATAGAATTTTCTTTTCAATGGTGGGGAAAAGTAATTAGTCTTTTTTTAAAAATATTTACTTTTTAAGTTTTTTAGGTGGACACAATATCCATTTTACATTTATGTGGTGCTGAGGATCGAACCCAGTGCCTCGTGCATGCCAGGCGAGTACTCTACCGCTGAGCCACAACCCCAGCCCCAGTAATTAGTCTTAATTACCTTTTTCAGTGGTTTCAACAATCTGCTCTAGTGGAGGTTATGTGTATAAATAAATAAACATATACAATTTCATATGAAATTATACAGAGTTAGTTATGCCTGAATTTGTCCTGAGATAGAATGACTTTGTAGACTACTTGCATGTTTCTTGCCAGTTTCTCTCCTAGAAAATTCTTCAGAACCAAGATGCAAAACTTAGAAAAAAACAGAATGGGAAAAGAAGAAAAACTTTTTAGAGAAAGATTTCAGGTATGTTTTCCTCTGAAGGTAAAAATTAGCAACGATTAACTTCTTTTTGTTGTTTGGTACCAGAGATATTGAACCCAGGAGTACTCAACCATTAAGCCACATCCCCAGCTCTTTTTATTTATTTATTTATTTTCAAGACAGGGTCTCGTTAAGTTGCTTAGAGCCTCACTAAGTTGCTGAGCCTAACTTTGAACTTGCAATACTCCTGCCTCGGCCTCCAGAGCAACTGGGATTACAGGCGCATATGTTGATGCTAGGCTACAAATGTGCACTTTTAAAGACCCTAAAAATTTGCTTCACCAATACTTTATTTTTATTTTTCCTAATGTATTTCTATATTGACGTGCCTTTGTACATGCTAGTCCCTTTGCCTGGAAAAACTCCTAAGAGTTGTTCTTTTTGGCACTGTTCAAATGTCATTCACTCTTTCCTAGTTCCTCCAAGTCAAGTCACTCCTTGGCATATTTTCTACCTCTACTATCTATAAGTTGTTTACAAACATTATGCTTTATTAGTCCTGTCCTGGACTAATCTCCCAAGTCCCTCTGGAAGGGGATTCTAATTTGTCAAGTTTGTTYCCAGCCTCCAACAAAAAACTAAACTCCTGGTGCTCAGTGAGCGAATGACTATACAAACAAATGATAACTGAAGGGAGGGAGGGAAAGAAGGAGAAAGGAATGTGTTTGACATCTTATTCTGTCACTAAGAGTCCATGGAACATTATTCCATCATTCTAAAAATCAAACAATTCTAACAATCAAATGACTACCTAATACTTTATAAACATCCAAAACTGTTTTGAACCAAACTAAAAAAGGAATATACATAAATCTCTCAATCACTTATAACTTCCACTTAGACCAAAGCTGACTATGGTTACTATATCTAGAAACCGTGATCTGAAATTATCTATTGCAAATTGTGGTGGTGTTTTATTAGGTGGAAAACAATAATGTAGCAATTACTTGTTGAAAAGACTCCTAAATCCTGTCTAGGGCTTTTTTCCCCTCATATTTTTGACTTGTCTCACATGGGACAGAAATTTCATTTCCTATATATTTTTTTCTGTCATGAGTTTTTGTAGTTGCCATTAAAGACTATGCTATTTCAATAATTTTTATCCAGCTCAAATTATAAAATATTGGGTATCACATCGCTCTCRGGTATTGAGGGTATAAAGATTAATAAGACTGTCCTTTATTTTCATTTCTTAAAATAGTTTACTAAATGTTATAATAGGAGTATATACATAGTAAACAATAAATTATATATAGCAGTCATAAAAGGTGAGGTGGTCAAGAGACAAATGAATATTTTAAGCAGAAAAAAAACAGCACAAGCAAAATAATGGAAATATGAAAAGTATACAGGGTATTCAAGGATTATCATATAGTTCCATGAGGCTTCAATAAAGGAGAGATGGAGCAATGGAGAATGATAGCATGCAAAGATCCCCGAATATCAAGATCAGAAATGTGTTTCATATCCTAAGGGTAATGAAGAGTTTTCAGAGCTTTATAAATGGGAAAGTGGCCTAGTCAGACTTGTATTCTAAGAAATCACTGTGGACTCACAGTAAACAATAGCCCCAAGAGAGCAAGACCAGTTATTTAGATGCTATTACATTGTTAGCAAAAAGAATATCTTATAGCTTATATCTCTTGGTATAGGGTCTTCTTATGATTTATAATCCAAATTCAGAATACTTCTAAGAGTGGAAGAAGGCACTCACATTAATAAGTATTTGTACATGGAGATGTAAGAGTGCCATCTAGAAATGATCGGTATGTAGTATAAAGTCTAGGGGGCTACACAGAGGATTTGGGTGTTTTTAAAAAATGTTCTCCTTTCCTGGGTTTGGCAGTAACTTTGTTACCTAACAGCATGCCTTCCCTGATTATTAAATCTATACTCAGGTTTTAGCTTTCTCTTCTTCCAGGATTCTACTCCAGTAAAATTAGACAACAGGTGCAAGAACATTTTAAAAATAAAATCATTGGGCTGGGACTGTGGCTCAGCGGTAGAGCCTAGCACAGGCGGGACCCAGGTTCGATTCTCAGCACCACATAAAAAAATAAAAATAAAGGCATTATGTTGTCCACCCACAAAAAAAAGGATTCATATTCTCTCTCTCTCTCTCCCTCTCTCTCTCTCTAAAAAAATAAAATCATACAAAATGTCATACTTAACATCTTGCTATGGTTTTCTTAAAATGACTTTCCCTTTCACCACTACCTTCCTGTTATATTCTTTCCTTCAGGGATTTTTTAATATCTAGAGTCTTAATTTTGAGGTAACTTTATCATATCCTCCATTAATTCGGTTATTGTGAAAAAGGACGATGGCTGTGCAAGCATGGTCTGATTAGTGATTTTTTTCATTTCAGTATGACAAAGAAATTATCGTCATCAATAGAGCAGTGGTATGTTCCAGTAATTCAAGAAATGGAATATTTGATTTGCCAATAACACCTGGAGAAGAACTGGAAGTCATTGACACCACTGAACAAAATCTAGTGATATGTCGAAATTCTAAAGGGAAATGTAAGTTTTTTGGCTTGTTGCCCATAAAATTTCAATCACTATTCCAAAAAAAAAAACATTTTCTAGAAAAACTTCAGATTAATAACAATGTTTTTTCCCTATAGATGGATATGTACTCATTGAACATCTAGATTTCAAGTAAGTAGTTTAATTTTATACTTCAAATTGTAAGTTATAAATAATATGGTGTTGTGTGCATTAGTCTCAAGGAAAGACTGCTGAATTTACTGAAATTCAGGAAAAGTTCTGAAAATTAAATACACAGCATGATCTCTGTCCTGTAAGGAGACATTAGGAGAGACTTTATTACTGTCTCCTGAGTCTATTATCAAATTGAACACTGTATATTTATAAACATTTTAAAGCAACATGAAATTATGAAACTGGATAAGAAAATTCCCAGAAATCTCCTCCTCACTGTTCCATTAGCCTCTACTTCAAAATGTATGTTTCTTTTTTCCCCAGGAGTCAAGGTTGGTCCAGATAGAAAGGTCAAGATCAGAAGGGAAAGGCTGCACAACTGAGAAGGGGTCCTAGCAGCTTAGTCCTGCCTTACAGCAGTTTGTTTACATGTCGAAATCAGATGGAATATGTRGAACTTTTGTTGGGCACTTGAAAGAAAAAAAAAAAACAAGAAATCCTCAACATTTAGTTGTTGGTTTGACTCTTAAGAGTTTTCTCTTTCAATATCTATTTCACTGCTGGTTTAAAAAAATGTGAAACTGTTATGTGAGCACTTGYTTAATGAGCCATGTCCAAAGTTAGAAATCAAGACTATTCAGTTGTGCAGATGGCTGGTTTGCTTCTAATATTAGTAAGGTAAGCATGTGTAATTTTTAGATATTAGTTTAAATTTGGTACAATAAACTCTGATAATGAAGGTCCTCAAAATTCTCAAATTTAAGATATAATAAACAATTCTGACTTAATCTTTTTTTAAAAATCAAGGTATAAATGTCCTTTTACTTTATCACAAAAACAATCTGATCGATGCTATTCCTGGTTCCTTTGGGAATAGGATGCAGAAAAATAATTTTTCTTAAGTTCAACTAGTATCACTTAAAGAAGTATCTAAATATATTTAACAAACTCTAAAAAATAGATGCTATCTTACTTTAAAACATTCTGTTGCCTAAAATAARAAAAATTTTGTCTATACCCCAAAATTCATTCAAATAAAATTCAAGTATTTTTCACTTAAATGAAATGGAAATTAAAAAGCAGAGGTATAAACAGATTCTATTTTTTAAATGATGTACACTGAATGTCAGATTTTAAGACAGTTGAATGCATATGTAGAATTTATACAAGTGGCTTTATGTGCACTGAAACACTGGAGAAATTTCCCTCAGTTCTTTAAGCAGGGCAATTCATGGCCTCTTCTTTCTTACATTGAAACTACTATTCTTATATTTTTTGCATCCTCTAATTAAGGCCAAGTTTATTCTAAAAGACAGCAATCAAAGGTATTTGTATACTTAAGAATTTAGAGAATAGCATAATTAAAATAATATTATAAATGACATGGCTACAGGGTTAAGAAAGATGTTACAAAAAAGGTGACACTGAAGTTTGTTCTTGAAATAAATCCCATGCTCTGTCTGGTGACTATGAAGAAATCTGAGGCAAATGGAGTAGGAAGACTGCTGGGAAATGGGGTGTTTGGGCTAGAATGTGACACGGCATGCTCCAGCATGCTCAAGCTTTTTGCTCTAGAGTGGTGTGCCACTCAAGGGTTAAGCAGGAAGAAAATGCCAGATGTTTGGGGAAAGGGAGGGGTTTTAGCTTTTTTTACTGTGGTGACCTAAAGACCTGACAAGAACAATTTYAGATAAGAAAAGTTTATTTGATGATCAAGATTTCTGGTCTAGGTCCACTGTCAACTCCACAGCTCTAGGCCTGAGGTGATGCAGAACACCTTGGTGGAAGGGGTATGAAGAACAAAAGCAGCTAAGGACTGAGCAATCAGGAAGCAGAGAGGGGGCATGCCTCTCACCACAGACAAAACACATGCCCCAAAGGCAGGGACCCAGTGACCCTCCACCTCTAGCTACACCCTGCCTACAGGCCCAAAGTTACCAATTAATCCATTCAAGTAGATTAATATATTGATTAGATGAAGGCTCTCAAAAAACCAATCCTTTCCTCTGTTTTCTTGCATTGTCTCACACATAAGTTTTTTTGGGGGAACACCTCATATTCAAACCATAACAGGAGGCAATTGCATAGATGACAACAGACAGAAAAGATTGTTTTTACAATATTCTAAGGAAAAGGTCATCAAGCCTTAAATGAGGATAGCAAGAYTGAGGCACATAGTTCAGGAGCCCCATCAGAGGTCAAAGAGACACCACGTGTCGGTGAGAAGATGAGTGAGAAGGAGAGTTAGGGAATGGCTCCAAGACTTCTTTTTCAGGAGATTAGACTAAGGTTGGTACAAAAGAATGGTAATTTATTTCTGCTTGGACTAGAGACTACAGACTTCTGAATTAAACTTCCTACCCAGTAATGAACAATTGTGGCCTCTCATAACTTCTAAGCCAAGACCTGTTGCAGATGACACTGAAGAAGAGGATGAGTGTGGTCTGTGAGCAAGAAGTGAGTGTGAGGAAACGTGGCTATGCTGAGCAGAAACCTTTCATGCAGTACTCCTGCTCAAAGAGAAGCCACTTCACCAAACAATGAAGTATTTAAATCCTGGAGTGGCGGTGGGATTAAACCTGAACTGAGATAAAGATGGCCCTTGCATTTTTATCTCACCACAGGGTTTCTTCTAGTTCAGTTCCTTTGGGTCTCAATTTCCGCACTAGTAAAATGGAGCTAAAACCACTCGTCTACTTTACAGCACTGTTATGCTACAACATAATTTAAGTAGAAGTCAAATTATTACAGGATAATTTAAGTAGCAATTAGGTAAATAAACAATACTCTATTAGTGTTATCATACCTGGCTTTTTCTGAATTTGAAAGATGCTGAAAACAAACACCACATTTTTAAAATTCAATTCTTAAGAGACTTGAAAGAATGGATTGGGTTTGAGAATTTCTTTTACATAGCTATAATAAATATTCAGTTTTAAAAACATTAAATGTTTTTTATGGTAGAAACCACTTGGTCTAATAAAAATTTTATTGCCTAATTATTACTGATATAGCATATAGGTTTTTAGAATAATTGCTTGTCTTCTATCAATACTTAATGTGGTTATGTTTATATTTCACAAACAGCCACATTCCCTTCCTTCTCTAAATCAAACTAATTTTCTCATATTATTGATCTACCAAGTTTTCAAACCTAAACACCATAATTAACACCAAGCCAATGTTATCAGTCTCCTAGAAACTAGCATAAAGCTTCAGCGAAAAGACTGAGTTTATATTTTAATTTTTTATTTAAAGATAGTAAAGATAACACCATCTTGTCAGGTAAGATATCACACACAGATTCTTAACCCTAACAGAGGCTAACACTGGCCCATTTAAAAATTGTCAGTCAGCTTCCCATCCATAATTGTGACAAATACCTGAAATAATCAACTTAAAAAAAAAAAAAAGTTTACCTTAGCTCATCGATTAGAGGTTTCAATATCCATGGTCGCTTGGCCGCACTATTCTTGGGCCTATGGTGATACAGTCCACTATGGGAGCACAAAGCAGAAGCAGCAGCTACCCACCTCAYGGGACCCAGGAAGCAAATAGGTTAGAAGGGAGGAAAAGGATTAAGGTCCCAATACCCTTTCAAGGGCATACCCCTATGACCTAACTTCCTTTCATGAGGCCCCACCTACTAAAGGTTCTAAAGCCTCCCAATAGCACCKTTGACTGGGGACCAACCAAGCCTTTGGGAATCATTCAAGATCCAAACTATAACATGTAGGCTGGACCTCTAGCAACGTTAATATACGCCAGCAAAATCTTTCCTTAGCACCTCCATGAAAACCCTGGTCTTCCAAGATGAGAATAGCGTCCTTGTTAACCAGGCCCTTTCCTGCACATATTCAGAATGTCTTTTGGGATGGATATATTATACACGTGTGTGTGTGTGTGTGTGTGTGTGTGTGTGTGTGTGTGTGCAGGAAGATAAATAGGGAGAGGAAAAAAACGAGTATAAACCTCTGGATGTTTCTTTAAACTTCCTGTACTCTTCAAATTTCCAATAATAAGCATCCCTTACCCTTGCAATTTAGGAAATAAAGGAAAAAAACTTTACTTTAAAAAAATACATTTTTTCTTTAAAATGTAGGAAAACTAAAATATTTATTTATCCAGACTTTGATGTTTACATTTTTTAGTGAGGACTATAGTAGTGTTTTTCAAAAAGTTGCTCTTACATAACAATAATATGAAATGTGACAACAGTACATATAAAGTCACATTTAGATTGTTTACTTTCTATTCTCAGAAGGATTTTCTATAAAATTCGATTACTAGTTTGAAGGTCTTTTCTCCCTATTCTATGGCTATGCTGAGCAGAATTTTGGCCTCTGTAATCTTTACCCTCTTGTGTTATGTATGTAAATACTTGATGTGACTTTGTAAAAGGGGGTTTGTAACAAAATCAAACTTGCTAACCAGTGGTCCYTAAAATAAAAAGATATTTACATTATCCAAGTAGACCCAATTTCATCACATGGGACCTTAAACTGGAAGTAGAAGACAGAAGAATCTGTCAGCCAGTCAGAAAAGTGGTATGAGAAGAAGAGGAAATCCCAAGCCTGAATCCCATCGCTGCCATTAAAGATGAAGGGAGCCATCCGTTGACCAGGGAATGCCAGTGGCCTCTAGAAGCTATGAATGACACCTAGTCAATAGCCAGAAAGGGAGCAGAGACCTCCGTCCTAGAGCAACATGGAATTAAATTCTGCTAACAACCTGGATGAACCTGGAAGCAGATTCTCTCATACAGCCCAGCCCTTATTATTATTTTGGTTTTCAGCCTGTGCAAAAACCCAGCTAAGCCCACTAGATTTCTCTGTAAGAAAATAAATTTGTGTTATTTAAGTAATTATGATATTTGTGTTATGTCCTTTAGAAAAAACCAGTTAAGTCCACTGGACTATGGAATTCTAAGATAATAAATCTATGTTAAATCCTTAAATTTGTAGTAACTTTTTACAGCAGAAATAGAAAACTATCCAAATAGCTACAGTTAAAAAAAAAATGTACACAAAGACAAAATAAACAAAGATGGTGTGAAATCTGATGAGTCATAAACAATCTTGCTCTAAAATAGCTTATTCAGTATTAGCTGAAATGCAGAATATTAGCTTAATGACTGAACAGAAACAAAAACAATTTTCAAATTAACCGTGACTTTAATTTGATTTTGTGGAAAAAGCTTATAAGCAATTAGGCTGCTTTTCCTTGTGTTTGTTGCCTACGAGTTGGTTTTACCAAGAGAACCTGTATCTATGAAATGCAGTGTAATTCAAGACATCTTTTCACATGGTTACTGGAAAACAAATCCTTCTCACAGATCATATAACTCTCACAAAAAAATATTTAGCAAACAAAACTGAAATTTGAATATGCCATTATTAAAATACATAAGCACTGGAAATCTAGTATTGGTTTTCCCTCTGAAACCAGTGGTCCCAATTTCAATAGTTTAAATTTTTTTTGAATAGAGATGTAGTCCAGTGCTCCAGTGGGTTAAGGTATCAGCCTACGGATTTAGTTTCCTAAGATGGGCTGAGAAAGAAAGAACACATGATATTCTTAAAAAAAAAAGGGAACAATTACTATCCAATTGTACATAATATTATGATTGTCATGGACATAAATAACCTAAAAGCTATCAACTTTCAGTTTTATTTGCTGTACTCAAAATTCACTATATAACATTTTAGCATACATGATAAAGAACACAACCATTCTTCTTAACAGTATCAAGGTACTATCCTTTGAGTTTACAGTTCTATAATAACTTCACATTAAATACTCAAAACATTGTACAACATAGATGTTTGTGAACAGTCTTAACAGAATGTTGTATTTTGATRCATTAAGGCAGCTTCAGCTGACATTAAGAAGTTCCGAATATTATTTGTTGAAACAATAAACAAGTTTGATATTTAAATATCTGATGTTTCCAAGAAACTTTAAATATCTCAAAATAAGAACACCATAATTTGTGAAACTGTGGTCTGAAACATTCTTAGCACTATGTTCTTACCACATAAAACTTACCTAAAAATCAGGATACTCATCAGTATCAAAGGTATCTATAAAAAGAAGGGATTTACATTAAATACGGGGATATAAACCTTGCATTTAAACAAGGACCTTGAAACGATTTCTCACACACATCTGTGAGGTAGGTTATCATCCATATTTTGTACAAGAGACGAGTAAGTGAGGTCATGCAACTTGTGCTGCTATAGCAGCCAAAAGGAGAATCAGATTCCAATTAGATTTTGTCCTTAGCTCTGTATTCTTTCTTTCCTATACAAACTTGCAAAATACAAAGACTACTTAACTTTGCATTCGTTTTAAAAACATGAGAAGGCAGCCAAATATTTACTAAAGTGACTTTAAAAAGTGAAACAACATAAAAAAAGAAACAGAAAACACAGTTAGTGAACAACTTCTGATAGTGTGAGGTCTGGCCAAACAAACTTGAAAACAGACAGGCAGAACTAAGTAAGATTGTCTGTGGAGGCTAGATCTAAACGGAAATGAGAGGGATCAGAGAAAAAGAAATTACAGTTCAAACAACTTTACTATTACTGTTTCTGTAACATGAGAGAGAAGGCACAATTTAGTGTTTGTTTTTATAACAGGATGTTTCTCTTTCCCATTTTAGGAAAATGTCATCTATTTAGAAAAGTGGCCTTTTTTGGGTAACAAAACATACTTAAAAGGGAATTTTAACTGTGAAAATTAGATTAGCAGAAAAAAATTAACCATGCAATTCTTGCCTAGAATATTTTTGTTCCTCCTTGAAATTTTAAATTAACTCAAAGTAGGAAACCTTGAATTAAAAAAGAAAACACTGTATAAAGCTTGTCAAAACTCTATGTACAAGTTCAAAAATTTTTCATGCCAGGATATTCCAAATACTTAATACTTTTTTCCTGGAAGGAGTGCTCTATTCTAGGATTTCCTTAATTGCACTTTAAACATAATTGAAATTTACCTACCCTGCTTGTTCAAATAATCATGAATAACTTTTATAAAATCTAAACTGTTTTAGATATAAACGATAGTTACCAAAAGTTCCATACACAATCAAGGCTGCAGACTGGCATTGCTGTGCAAGGCTGGCAGTAAACATTAACATTGGCTTGCRAAATTAATACAGCACCACAGTCTGATAACTTCTAGACTTAATCTGATTCTTATCAGGTTATGGCTGAAGAAGTTTAATTAAAACTTACTCCAGTCTAGACTGTGGGTCCTGGTCTTTGTTCTGTTACTATTCAGTGGCATCAAATGCATCACACATACATGTGGGAAAGACTAGTAAGGATGCCAGCAACTTGTCTAGTTAGGTTTACATACATTTTAAAGCTCATCAAACTCAGGTTCAAAGTTTTAAAAGGTTTGGGAGAATATCAAGCCAATTATAATTAGGTAATTTCTGTTCATGAATATCATCTAATATGCATACAACATGAAAAATTACTATCCTCTGTGAAATTTAGAGAAGGCTAATTCAGGAAATAGTCAAAACTGATGATAAATTAGAAATGGACTAAGGCTAGTTTTTGTTTCTCTTTTTTTCTTTTCAGAGATTGTGCTATCAGAATCACATAAATAAAATTATATGAAGAATTATGTCACAAAGTTTCTTCAGTAACTTTTTAAGCACCCTCAACTTAGAAGTTCCTACAAAAATCGATATGCTAATCATAAATAGTTCAAAAAATTATACCTAATTGGTATAATCAATATAATTAGGAAACATTTAGTTAATCCTACTTTATGTCAGTCTAAGAATGGAAAGCAATACATTTGTGTTTATTTTTATTTTTTGACTACTCAGATGTTTCATTCATTCAACTGTTCTGCCCAGAGGAAAAATGGTATAGTCTGATCACCACTGAATACTTGTATAGCCTTAAAGGCATATTAAGAGCTCTCTAGCCCCCGCTTCCTCATCTGGAGAGTGGTAACATAATACACTTTTTCTGGTTACTTCACAAAATCACTGTAATAGTTAACAAATAGGGAGGGCCCCTTGATCTAAAACTTACTACAGAAATGTATGAAATACTTCCATCACTACGAATTAGGAATCTTTTGCTTTATGCCAAGTAGACTTGATATTTAACTTGTCTGGTTTTCTGAGTGATTTTTACTATTTGTATATGAGAGGGCATCTGTATTTAGAAAAATATTCAAGTATATACCATCAAATGCCTCACCAAACCAAAGTTGAACTTTCAAACTAGTATAAATATATAAAAAAGTGAACACCAATGCAAATCATATGAAAAGTAGAAAAAGCAGACTTTTAAAGCTCCAAAATACCCTAAAGGTCTTTCCTCTATCCCTCCCATTTGGGGGTCATAAAAATGAGGTCCAATGCAGGACGCAACTTATCAATAGATTGCACATATCCCTCATGCAGAGTTTTTAACAGTCTCTGAGAACTGCTATTAAATAACATTCCTTTTTTATTTTAAAGTCACTGGATGACAGGAGGACCAGGCAAAAATGTCAGATGCCTGAAATGGTATTTTTAAAAACAAAAACAAAAGAGACAAAATTGTGAATGTGTCTAGCATTTAAATACTGGGATTTCATAGATATTAATGGGATTTAAATTATTAACCAGTGAATGGAYAAAAATATAGTGTCTGTGGTAGGCATCTTCTAGGCTTCTACATCGTATAAATAGGTGTGGTGCTTACATTAACTCAGTATACTGCACATTAGCAGATGCAACAGATAAAGTAGTCTAAAAATTTGTAATGGTTATGATTACTTTCTAAATTATGTCTCGTTTAATTCTAAAAATGGGTATTCCCTGAGTACAAATTGGCTAGGGAATAAGAGAAAGCAAAACCAGAATTATGTAACCATTCTTGAAAACCTATTTGCAGAAAATGGAGAATTGTCTGTGCTATAAATAGCTAAAAACTATTATTTCTGATTAATTTCGGGACTAGTCTCTTTATAGATGACTAGTACCAAAGAATGCAAACACTAGAGACTACAAAGTGTCTCTTAAAAGATCAAAACAAACACCCAACATGTAAATGTTTTGCCTCCCTCCCTCCACAAATATTCAATTTGAGACAGTAACTGTTTTTTACACTGAAGACAATAGGAATTAGCTTTAAAAACAAGCATCCTAAATAAAAGTATTCAGAAAATATTCACTGACTAAACATTTGAAAGAATTAATGATACTGACTCATTGCCCACAGAGTCAAAAGCATGAATCAGTGGCCTTAAGTCTTTTACATGAGTGATCTTATTTAAGGTTTTTCAGTCATCTATTATTACAAAATCTAATTAAGAAAATCAACACGCTACAAAACAAGTTGTAGACATAAAAATTCTTAGTCCACAATTCACTCAAGATGAACATGTCTGCAAGTTTAAAAAAAATGATTCTCAATTTGAATGAGGTTCTCCTGGATAACTGGTAAGGGGAAAAGAAGTGCTATCAATTTCATTCTTAACTATCCTGATTATGGCAACCTGGGACAATAATTTTCCTGAAAAAGTATTTTCSAAATTTTCCTTTCCTTATGGAATAAATTTTTAAAGTAGCAAGTTAATTTGGGCAAAGCAGGGTTAAACCAAACTATATTATATTTTTTCCTTTTTTCATAGAAGGAAAAGACTTCAATGCTCCGATCCCATTGTCATCCTAATGGAGGGAAGTACATGCAGTATTCTCCAAATTTACCCCACAGAATCTCTTATTCTTTGGGAAATGTTCTAGAACCACATGGAGTCCATTTCCATGGCACAGCCTAGGCTTTCCTATAATCTAAAAATAGAAGTTCTCCCCAGGATCTTAACCAGAGGAAAGTGCTCTTAGCCCAGGCCCACATACCACATCCACAGTTAACCAATTTACAAGACTGAGATAGGAATTGAGGATTAGCAACAGATTCTTTCCTTCTCTGTGCCCATGACCAACAAAAAGCCTATGACAACATTCTACTCCCTTTCATTCAGTGTCCTGAAATCTCTCTGAAAATCAATTTATTATAACACCTAGATTTGTTTTTAAAACTCTGCAGAAAAGAACCAAAACTATGATCCTCAGATTTCCCCTAAAATTCAACTATCCAATTGTGGATTTTCATAAATATTGGYAAGAATGAGAAAATAGTAAATAAATTTTAACTCTCAAAGAAAATTCTCATCATCTATATAAGGTAATTTTGATATGAAAAAAGTGTCTCACGTCTGATTGTATTAGACTAAAGAAGCAACAGTGCCACTAGATTCCTTCCTACGTTTTTTTGCTTATAAAATTGTTGTTTAATTAGGCAAATATTATGAAGTGGACTTGCTTTTCCCAAAAGAGGGACATGCACATTGGGAAAAGTCAAAATTACGCCATACTGATAATGCACATCACACTTAAATAGCAGGACTACTTATCCCCACAACTAATAAAAAAAATTACCCTTTGGTGCCACAAGATGGCAGTCTTTCAAAGGTTTAGACCTTAAGCTATCTCAAACTGCAACCCTATGGTCTTTCCCAAATCAGTGAACAAGGATTCCATATAAAGAAGTTGGATTTGCAAATTATTTAACACCATTTAAAAAAAAAAATCTACAAAACAGTTTGATGTGACGCCCCTGAAATTCATGAATCAAAAGGTTAAAGATACAGACATACTTGAGAAACTTGATCTAGCATTCTCATTTGCTTCTTGATAGAAAACATTATTTTGGCAAAGAGAAACCTATCAAAGCAATTTCATTTTTTTTTTTTTGTTTTCAAGAGCTCAATATTTTTAGGGCATGCCAGGCAAAATGAGATTGTTAATTACAACATAAATACAATAAATGAATAAATACAAAATTAGATAAATTACGCATTCTGCTGTCATATATAACAAATTAGAATAAAAAATAAAAAAATTAAATATCTTTACTAAAACAAAATATTATCAATATCCTAGTATCTATCCTGCTATATATAGTTTTTTCTTTAATCTTAAAAAAATTTTGCAAAGCAAAACAAACAAAATCTGGTTTTCGATTAAAAGAACTGTTATGTGAATACATATATGTAATATATGTAAAAAACACATATATTTTTTTCAGGAAAGACTACTTAAGGCTTCCCTGCCTCATCAGTGAAGGTCATAGCCTATTAAACTTTGGAAGCACACAAAAGCCTTTAGGGCTAGAATAGTGTTTTTGATCTGAATGGCTAGCAACCAAGAAAGGGAACCAAAAAAAGATTCAGCTGAATCAATCAGCCACTGAAGATGAAAACATGAACAAAGATAATGGTTATTGGGGAAGGTGGAGGAAGGTGGTACCATCAATAACAAACTTTAACTCCAAGTGAAGATTTAGTACCATGAGATGCAATAGGACTCTAACCTTTTACTCCCACTCACCCAACCCTGTCCCCCAAACACACAAAATAAAAGATCAGAATTCTTTTTTAAGGGATTGCTGATATTCTGCTTTGCTTCATTTAACTGTCTACTATTTTATCATTCTTGATTAAATGCAAAAATAAATAGATAAAAAGAATTTGAGAAAGGTAGGCCTTGAGCACATATTTTAAAATTACATAAATTTACGGAAAAGACTAATTATTTCAAGTCCAGATATCCCAATGCTAAGCTGAACCTTGAAGGCTCTTAAGATAAACATTATCATTCAGGGAAATCTCAAAGATAAAGCCCTGAGATAGTCAAAACTGTTTTTAAGGAACCTGGAAATTATGAGTACCTTTTAGAGACCACAGACCTTCTGGTGAGTACTAAGCAGTGTTTGCAAAAACTGTTCGAAGAACTTGGTTTCTGGAATTTTCAGAGCAGGCTTTTAAGATTCCAACCTGTAAATAATTTGGGGGTTTTTTTGTTACTGGGATTGAACCCAGGGGCACTTAACCACTGAGGCATAACCCTACTCTTTTTTAACACAGGGTCTTGCAAATTTGCTTAGTGCCTTACTAAATTACAAGGGCTGGCTTTGAACCTGTGATCCTCCTGCCTCAGTGTCCCAAGCTGCTGGGAATATAGATGTGCACCACTGCACCCAGCTAATATCTTACTAAAGGCTGTTTAATTTTTTAATAATTTTGTGCAAGAAAACTGAGACCATAAACAGCTCAAAGCTGTGAAATTTAGGAAGTAAAATGGATTTATCTATGTTAGTGAAGCCAGATGCTGTTGCAAACCACTCTTAGACAGTTCATCAGTGAGGTGTGTTCATCTTATGAAGTGAATTCACAACTATAAATTAACAATCTTCATCAACATTCACCCATTAACAATACTGCCTATGTGAATTTAACATAGGTACAATAGAATTACAGAGTTCTAAAAGTAAAGGTCAGACTTCTTTGTTTTCAGTAATTTCTATGGCATTGCAAATCTGCTGTAAATATTCATGTTTTTCAATCAATATTGCGAAGTGTGATATCCAGAAGATAATAATTTAAAGAATGTATCTGATTTTCACAGTGCAGTAACAGAAAGATAAAAATCAGGGAGATCATCAACGGGCTAAAGTAGTGATCAGACTGGCACACATTTCAAAAAAATCCATGGTGTGACTGCCCAGGCGAGGGGAAACTGAAGACAATGTGCTTCCGGTCAAAGAGCCAGTGAGAGAGCCAGAAAGWGAATGGCTTTCTATAGTCGTAGAATCAAAGCTGGATCTTGGTCTGTGTAAGCCAGCAGCAGAACAGGAACGCTGAGGTGTTGAGGAACCAGATCTCTGCTCCACCATCTCATCTGAAAYGGATCAAAGAAAAGCAATTGATATGAGAGGTCTATTTGCCTGAGTCCTTCCTATAAAATTGTTATATTCAGAATAGTAAGTAAACCCCTCTGAACAAGGGCAACTTAGAAATGAATGTTATAAGTCAGGCAAGGTGGTACACGCCTATAATCGAAGCAGCTCAGGAGACTAGAGCAAAAGGATGGCAAGTTTGATGCCAGCCTCAGCAACTTAGTGAGACCATCTCAAAATAAAAAATAAAAATGGTTCAGGATATAGCTAAGTGGTAAAGCACCAAGAGTTCAATCCCCAGCATCAAAAAAAAAAAAAAAGAAAGAAAGAAAAAGAAAACAAAAAAAGAAAAAGAAAAGAAAGAAAAAGAAATGAATGTCATATTTCAGTGTGTTAGGAACAGAGAAAGTAATACCTTTTTCCTCCCACAACCAAAACATACATCACTAATCCCAACATTTCACCATTCAAACATGGCCTCTAAATCCTTCTCAACGGAGTGCCCAGATTAACACTGAAATGAAACTGATGTCTCTACCCAGGAAGAAAATATTTCATTAGCAATATGTTTTCTTCTAGCACATTAACAAAAACTAAATAAATAATAATATAAATATAGGTATATATATATATGTATATTAAATATATATGAATATATATCTCCTCTCACTTACATTTCGGTTGACTCTAGATTACTTAAATCTAGTATATGACTACTCACCATGTCTTAGAGATGATTTTTAATACCTGGTCAACTAGTGCCAAGTTAGATTTCTGATCTCATGGCTACATAGTCTCCTTACCATCAATGCTTTTAAAATCCAAAAGATAGCTCCTATTATCAACCAGGTAAAGCTGTAAGCTCATTTTCACATAATTGCCAGTCACTGGATTTTTTCTTCTTACACGAAGATGGTATGCATTCACTACCTAAAACAGGAAATCAGTAAAAATAACAAAAAAATTCTTATTGAAAATAACAATAATGGCAAGAATGAAAAGAATGTCAAAAACAAATAATTGATGGGGTGGGGTAAGAAAGAAGTTACTGAATAATACATTTTTAACATTATAGGAGTTTAGTATTTATTTAATTCACACTAACAGCAGCATTTACATTTGGCAATTACAACTTAAAGAAAACTCAGATTATATAGTTCAGCTTACACATCCATTCTGAAGCATCAATCATTATCTTGGTTACCCAGCCTCTGCTTCAATACTTTTACTGATGAATATGGAGCCAAAGGAATAAAGGGGAGCTAACATGTTAATAGCTTACGTTAGGTTCTGTCACAAAATTCAGGATCACAATAATGCTGCAAAGAAGATACTGTTTGCTTTTTAAAGATAAGAAAACTGTAGCTCTGATACAGAAGATTCTGGGTTTTAAAAATATCTAGCATATGAGTTTCAAAATTTTTTCAACAAGAAATTTTAAAGACATTTATGCTGGGTGTGGTGGCACATGCCTAAAATCCCAGCAGCTTAGGAGGTTTAGGCAGAAGGATGKCAAGTTCAAAGCCAGCCTCAGCAACTGAGTGAGAGCCTGTCTCTAAATAAAAAATTAAAAAGGGCTGGGAATGTGCCTAGACGATCTAACTAAAAATGTGGTTAAACCCGCCTTGGTTCAATCCCTAATACCAAAGAAAAAAAGAAGTTTTAAAGACATTAGCATCTTTTTTAACTAAATAAACTGCTTCAGAAAAAGGACATTTATGTTTAGTCTTAAGAAATATTATTTCATTTATTCATGTACAAATAATGAAATGAAAGTAACTGATTTATTCAAGCATGTTAAATGAGTATTTACATCATAAATTTGAATGCTTTTCTTCTTCCTTTAAAAAAAAAAGGTTCAAAGTTCTCAAGAAAAGAACAAGAGTGAAAGGAATATCTAAAATGAAAAGTACTTTTTTTTTTCTCGGTACTAAGGATTAAACCCTGAGGTGCCTAACTGTACCCGCAGTCCTTTTTAAAATTTATTTAGAGATAAGGTCTCATTGAGTTGCTTAGGCTGCCTCTGAACTTTTGATCCTCCTGCCTCAACCTCCTGAGCTGCTGGGATCACAGGCCCCCCTCACATATATACCAATAGATTTGAAATGAAATAAAGCACTAATTTTAAAAGAAAGTAAAACTGGGTGATAGTAAGAAAAATATGCCATAACTAAGGATTAAAAGAACGAAATAAGAGAGTTTCTCAACTAGAAGAAAAGTAATTGTTGCTGAATAAATGTATCCTGATGGCATGATTAACACTGACTGTTAGCTGTCACTGCCACTCACCTCCACTACCCTTAAAACAAACAAACAAACAAACAAACAAACAAACAAAAGATAAGAAAAAAGTCAAGTCTTCCTAAAACAAGAGAGAAAAAAGTGACAACATTATCTTTGAAGACTCAGGGATTTCTGTTGCTATGAAGCATCTAAAACAGGTGAGCTATTTTTCAGATAGTTTCAAATTGATTACTTTTTGTTTGTTAGACAAAAATGCTATTCTATAATTCCAAAATACCTAAATTCGACAGCTCTTCATTCTTATAGAAATTTGTTTTGCTTTGAATGTACATGTTGTAATACTRAGAAGAATCAAGCACAGTAACTTATATTTAAATCAAAAATAACTTTATATGGACCTTACTACTCACCTGCTCAGACTATTTGGTATACAGCAAGACAGCTTCTACAAATGACCTTAATGCACAATTTCCTACCTTCCATTCAAAATCCAGCTGCTTCATAGCCCGGTAAACTTCAGCCATAATGTCATAAGGTTTGCTCTGGCTTCTGATTCCAAGATGCCACTTAGCTTTTTTCACAGCTAAAGACTTGGGCTTAGTCGTATTCAGTGCATCCAATGGACATCTTGCTTTGGGACTGTCTGCTATAAGAGGTGGCATTCTTTCTGGATGAGGTTTCAGGCCTGGGGGAATATGCATGGCACTATCATCCATAAAAGAACCAGTTGGAGGGCTAGAGGCGAGGTAGAACTCACTGGCTTGGTTCATTATTCTCCGATTGTCAATGATAAGATGATATGCCACTGCAAGCTGGTCTTGAGGGTCACCACTATATAAACTGTTCATTACTTCTGATTCTGTACACTCAAATTTTTCACATACTTCTTTCACAGCCTCATCATCAATAACATTAGCATCATAAGAGGGGTCTTCAGGAAATAAGTAATTGGGCAAATCTTGTTTAAACCATTCATGCTCTCTAGAAAAAAAAAAGAACAAAACACCACAATACACTATTGTAAGAAAGAACATGCTTTGGCAAGTTCCAAATAACTCAGATATGGGGCAATACAATATAGTAGACGCCCACCTCTGCCACTTACTAGCTATGTAATCCTGGGCAAGCTAATTAATTCTACCTTTGAATAACTACAGTTACTCAGACCTGGGAATTAGGCTGATGTTTTCTTGAAAATGATCAATGTGACCACATTAGGCTGATGTTTTCTTGAAAATGATCAATGTGACCACATTACTTTGAGGAGACAACTAGCAATATTTTTTGCCACTGATAAAATACAAGTTTTCAAGGGAAAATTTAGAATTAAGTAATAATTTATATTTTTTTCTATGAATGTGAAAGTTTTCCAATATCTAAAGATGTTCTGATGAGGTCAGTATCAACAATAATGACTTTTTTKTGTGTGTGTGGTGCTGGAGATGGAACCCAGCTCAGTTTAACATGCTAAATATTGATAGATATACACTATATTTTTTAAGAAATCAACTTCTTTGAGGTCCTTAATAATTTTTAGGAATRGAAAGAGATATTAAAACTAAATAGTTTGAGAACCACTCTCCTAAATCATTTTTTCACACTTCTGGGCCTTTGCACCTGGCATTAGTATTGTCCTCCTAGGTTATCACATCCTTTTCACCTAACACACTCTCAAGACTATTTAAGCACTGCTACATATTACAACTGGGTATCCCTTAGGTTAAAATCAGATCAATATACATTTTGATTGAATGTTTTCTATTTCACTGATTATTTATGAACATTTACTGAGGACAAACTATAAACAAGAAGACACATTCCTCTTGGCAGATTGTATGCTAGCTGATACATATTAAACAAGTATTCATAAGAATAAATATAGAGTTACAAATACCTACAAGTATGTAAATCCTGTGATCAAGATTGAGGGTGGAAAAGCAGAGAACAAAATGAGAGCATATAATTCAGAATGGGAGGCAGAGATAAAGGAAGCTGCTCTCTGAGTAACATTTAAGCAAACACTAGAACGGTCAGAAGTCAACTAAACAAAGAGTTAGGAGGCAGGTATTCCCAGAGAAGAAACAGTCTACACAAAGACCTTGAGACAAGAAAGAGGTCTAACATGCTCCAGGAACTGAACTAGCCCAATATCATGAGAACATAGTGATGGGATGGAGCAGTAAAAGAAATCAGGTATTCTTGAGAGTTGTAGCAAAAATTGCCAAAAATTAACATTTTCATAATTCTGAAAATTGCAGAATTTCATAATTCTGCACAATATGATAAGTCTTTATTCAAGAAAAATGGCTGAACCTCAGCAAGAAAAGTGTGACATATGGCTTTTTAAGATGCCCTATCTTCATCTCCTTTCTCTAGCTACATAGAGTCCACAATCACTGAGAAAACCAACAGTGTTAAAAAACACAGGATTAGATAGACAGAAGAGCAAAGCAGGTTCAGAACTCTCCAAAGTCCTACCCCATGAGAACTGTCATTATATTACACAGCTAGCAATTCCCTGGAAACCTCCACTGATAGGCCTTGCTTTATTTGACAGGAATCAGAGCTCACTCACTGCAAACAACCTTCTCCCAGGGCATTCATCAAAAACAGTCAACAGCAACTGTTTAATATCCCATCTGTCTGAAGCAGCAATAAAAGATGCATAACCAAGAAGCTGACCCAAAAACTTAAGAAGGAAAATCTTCCAAAGGGGTCTTTGAAAAACTTTCATATGTTCCTGGGATTTAAGGTTGCCAGGAACACATATGCAGGGGGTGTGCGCATGCCCAAGAAAGAACTGAGAAGGCTCTAATTTCTCATCACTGGCCAACTTTGATGCTCTGCAAAGTAGATGACGGCTAAGATAAAGTGATAAACAACTGCCTGTCAGAGCACTGAAGATACACAGATAATTTTTCATCAAGGCTAAGGCTAGGGGACTTATATTTATATTTGACAGTGGAATGCATTACAATTCTTATTACACGATTCTTATTATATCACCAGWTTTTTTGTTGTTGTTGTTGTTGTTTTCTTTTTTTTTTTTTTAAGATGCGGTTTCACCATATTGTCCTGGTTGGTCTTAAACTCATGAGCACAAGTGAACCTCCTACATTAGCTTCCTAAGTAGCTGGGTGTGCCACCAAACCCAGCACAGATCACARCATTTTAAGAAATCTGTCTAATCATTAGCTGATTATTTAGCTAACAAAGATAGTCTTCAGCAACCATACATGACAAAAAATACAGATTTTAAGAAATGAGGCCAGGAACAATGTCGCACACCTGTAATCCCGACAGTTTGGGAGGCTGAGGCAAGAGGATCCTGAGCTTAAAGCCAGCCTCAGCAACTTAGTGAGGCCCTAAGCAACTCAGTGAGACCCTGTCTCTAACAAAATACAAAAAGGGGCAGGGATTGTGGCTCAGTAGGAATTGAGCCCCTGGGTTCAATTCTTAGTACCAAAAAAAGAAAAAAAAATTAGTTTAGGAAATCACTAAACAAATAAGAGCAGTGACAACGACAGCACAGAACAATTATAATAAAACTCTAGAAATAAAACCATAAAAACTAAAAACATGACCATACAAAATATGTATGTGAATGTTCAAAGCAGTATCAGACATAAAAAGCAAAAGATGGAAACAACTCAACTGTCCATCAAATGATGAATAAACAAACTGAATACTGATCAAGGAAAAAAAGSAATGAAGTACTGATACATGCTACACAATGGAAATACCTTGAAAATATTATGCTAAAACAAAGAAGTCAGACACAAAGGCCATAGAGTCTATGAATTCATTTATATGAAATGACCAGAATAGATATAAAGACAGAGAGTAAACTAGTGGTTGACACAGGCTAGGAGGAAAGGGAAATGGGAAGTGACGACTAGTGGTACAGTTTCTTTTGAGAGGGATAAAAGGCTCTAGAATTAGATAATGGTAACAATACAACTTTGTGAACATACTAAAAAAACTAGTGAATTATGCATTTTAAAGGAATGGATTTGTAATAAGCGAATTATACCAATAAATTAATTCTTTAAAGTAGATAGAGAAAATCTAAAATTTTTATTTCAAATTCATTAAGTTAGTCAACAGAACATAAAATCTTTGCAAAAAGGTAAGCTGCCAATTTTCAAAGCCATACCTATAGCTTTTTAATTTTAGGAGCCAATTTCTAAATTAATCCTACCAGTGTAAGTAAATATATATATGTATATATATTTACTTACATACACTTAAATATATATATATGTTATATATTTGTAAACAAGCATGGATGAAATCTTATGTAAAAATAAAAACCCTCCAAAAAAAAAATAAAGGACAAGTCATCAGCAGAAGGCACTGACATATTCTGGTGCCTGTGCTATATAAAGGTCATACTCGTGGCAGCACCAGCAATTGCACTGTCCAAACTTTCTCATATATCCTTCACAGTAAACCCACTAGTAACTACTGGATTAAAAAACTTAGCAAAACTTTTTTATGCTCTATTCCATCAGTTGTATGTAAAATACATGAACCTCTCCCTATTTTTCCATTTGAAATTTCTTTAGGTACTTTCTGTACATATATTTCTAGGCCTTGCACCAAGGTACACAGAAAGATGAGTAAGACACACTCTCCTCTAATGCAGTCATAATTTAAGAAAGGAGAAAGACACACCAACTAGATATAGTATGAGAATGAAATAATAAAGCACAAACCAAAGACTGACATCACAGAGGTGGAAACCTGCCTGGGAGAATCAGAAGTGATTTTGTAAAGGAGGTAGCATGTGTGCAGAACCCTAAAGGGTGAATGGAAGGCTATCAAAAGCCATCAAGACAAAAAGCATAACAGGGACACAAAGGCAGAGAATCTGATATTTGAGGAACAAGGGCAAGTTCAACAAGTTCAAGCAGTAGTACAAGGACTGTGATGATAAAAACAGACAACAAGACTTCARGAGAAGTAGGGCCTTATGAAGTGTCTTGTATGCTTTGCTATTTGAGCTAAAAAGTTTTGGCATCAATGTGAAATGTTTGAAAGATAAGTGACATGATCAGGTTTGTGTAATAAGGTCAATAAAATACTTAGAAAATATTTAAAGTCTAATTTTGTAAAGCAAGCAATTGGCTTCACTATTACTATAGAAGACGGGCAAAACAGGAACAAAAAGAATACTTACCTTATGTCTTTGATAGTTGCTCGTTTCAGGGGGTCAACCTGCAGCATGTGCATCAGCAGAGTAGCAACAGAACGATTAAGATACTCTGGAATATAAAACACGCCCCCTCGGATCTTCTTAAACAATGTAGGTACATGCTCATCATCAAATGGGAGGGTGCCACAAAGAAGAGCATACAAGATAACACCACAGCTCCAGATATCAACTTCAGGACCTGCATACAATCTAAAATAAGATGATAATACAAACCTGAAATGCAAGAATCATTTTCTTTCTCTTTTTTTTTTTTTAGGATCTCACACATTCTAGGCAAGTGTTCTTTTTCCCATTTTTATATACCTTACTTATATATTTATTTAATGCCAACTCAGTATATATTGATTTTCAAGATATTTAATGAAGTCCATGACTGCTTTGAACATTTATGTTGTTTTCCATAAGGAATAATTGGTTTGACCAATTACTATGCAAATTTGTCAAGAGGATATGATACTTTTCTTTATTTGACACAAATTCATTTAATTGTAATTTACCAATAAAAACTATAACATTTTCTACTTAATTTTTGAAGGAGACATCAAAGTATGTAACAAATTTGAAAAAGCAATACTTTGGTATATAAGCTAATCTTTTCCCCTTATTAAAAAAAAACAAAATGCATATATAATCAAAATTTTATCCCTTGCACACCTATATTGAACAATATCTGACAAATTAAAGTACCTAAACAGTACTATGTAAATTTACTGTCATATTGAGTACCTACTACCTTTCATTCTACTCACTTGCTAACTCACAGAATAAAGATCACCTGTGCTCCAGATAACCTGTCTACAATAGACATCATTTCCATTTTTCCTCTCAGCTTTCTACATCATGAAAACTCTCCTGATAATATATTACCAATTCAATCTTGGATCTGAAGTAACAAAATAAATCTCTACAATTMTAATGAGAAGAATATAATGTTTCTATAAAAAATGCTGTCGCACAATTACATTATTTACTGTATTACCCAAACTCCTTGAAACATACATAAATGTTTGTGTCCCCCAAAAGTTTATATGCTGAAATTCTAACATCAAAAATGATAGTATTAGGAAGGGGGGACTTTGGAAGGAGATTAGGCCATGAGAATGAAGYCCTTATGAACTGGATTAATGCCCTTAATAAAGAGATCACTCAGAAGATCTAGATCCCTTTTCCTTCTACCATGTGAGCTTATAGTAAAAAGACACTGTACTATAAGGAACAGACTCTAGCAGGTACACAATCTTTCAGCTCCTTGTTCTTGGACTTCAAAGTCTCCAGAAGTACAAGAAATATATTTCTGTTGTTTATGAGTCACTCTGTCTTTGGTAGTACTCTGTTAGAGCAGCCCAAATGGACAAAGACACTCAATATCTGCTGCTAGCGATGACATCTTTTCAGTAATTCTGTTAATTTTTAAAATCAGACACTGACCACTGTAGAAAGATTTGAATTCACCATGGCAATCTGTATAAACATTACATAATGTACCAATGAATAAATTACTTGCATAATTAATCTCCACTTGTATAATTTCATGAAACAATAATTTCCCTCAAAATTCCATTATTCCAAAGACAAAATACAAAACAATATTCTACACACTTTAATTAAATATGTAAACTATTAAAGGACTGTATCTGATAAAGAATGACAAGAGGTTGCATTTAGCAAATTTTTACTCTTACTTGCCCTTTTCTGAAATAAAATACAGACATCACACTGATATTTGTTTCATTTTATTTATTTATCTATTTATTTATTTATTTATTTTAGGGGTCAATGGTTCTTTATTTTTTATTTATTTGTATTCGGTGCTGAGAATTGAACCCAGTGCCTCACACATGCTAGGTGAGTACTCTACCACTGAACCACAACCCCAGCCCTGTTACAGTTATTTTTAATGAAAAAAAAAAAAAACTTTATAAATACATTTATAACATCTACTTGAAACTTAAAAATTTTTAATATAACCATCCCCCTCAATAATTAAAAAAAAATTGTTTCTACTGTGTTAAAAAATCTTATCTTGCAGGCTAGGGACTTAGCTCAGTTGGTGCAAGCACAGGGCTATGGGTTCAATCCCAGCATCACAGAAGAAAAAAAAATCCTATCTTCCAAAGAGAACCTATTATGATTAAATGATATCAGAATGATATATTATTACCTGCCTGAGATGACTTCAGGTGCTGCATAATTTGGAGATCCACAACTAGTTCGTAGAAATTCACCATCTGACATCATGTTGGATAATCCTGAAAATAAGAGCAATGTTTACTTGTTGCTAGTTTTTTAGGTATAGATAAAAATATAAAAACTTTCAAGTGTTTAATGTTCTATAAATTATAACTTTAATTATTAAAAAATAATGAAAAGCACTYGTTAAAAGTGGAAAGAAACATTTCATAGTGCTTACATTGACCCCYMAAAAACTAAAGATATCATGTGAATGACAGGAGTTAGCCTTTCTGAATAAAAATGTTGATTCACTTTACAAATAAGGTTACTCTAAAGTATATTAGCACTTCTAAAAATAAAGGTATCAAAATATTATTTATCTGCTTCTATAGTTGAAAGAATAATATATAGGCTACTACTTTTTTAAACTATGCTTTTAAAAGCCATGGTTAAAAAATTTCAAAATCAGATAGTCTTCAATTCATAAGCAGATTATTTCCTAAAGCTTTTAACTGTAAAACTTTAATTCAACACAGAAAAAATAATCTATTGAACCCAAAATCTAGCTGAACTAAAAGAGTTTCATGATTTACAGAAGAAAGAGAAATAGTGAAACTAGTTTCCATGTTTATATTTAAGACATGGCATAGAATAAAACTTAAAAAAGCAATACCAACCTTTGGCACCTTCCCATTTCTCTTTCCTTAAGATCTCTTGTCCTAACCATTTTCTCAAATATTCATAGTACTATGGCATCCTTTCCAAGCGCGCTTACCCCAAAACTTGTTTGGACCATAAAAATCACATTTATTTACCCTATAAAACTCCCATTTTCTCATTAAGTTGCTAGATATTACTGTAAGATCCATGCACTTCTCCTAGATCAATGCAGAGGACAATAAAACTTTTTCTAAACTGTATGCAAATTTTCATGAGCCTGTTTATGGGCATTTATCAGGGATAGTATCCATACTTTCATCATATTTTCAAACAAGTTTGGGACTCCCCTAACACAGTTATCATTTTCTTAGGAGAAAATGAAAATTGAAAAGATTTACCTTGACATATCCCTCTAACTAGTTTTCTGGAGGCTATCTGTAATTTTTAAGTTTATTTAAATGAAAAGAACAACTTAATGTGGCGACTGCAACTAATCCCTTTTCATGGTACAAAATTTACAAGGCTGAAAGCGATCTCAGTTCTGTGAGAGTTGTTACTGACACAGGATTCCTCACTGACACAGGTGGCGATGCCTCTCTGAACAAGCCTGGAATTACACACCAAAATCAGCTATCTTGGCGTTCATATGTGCATCCAATAGCACATTCTCTGGTTTCAGGTCTCGATGAACAACCATATGCCTGTGACAATAATCCACTGCCGACAGAATCTGCTGAAACAGCCGCCTAGCTTCCATCTCTTCAACCTATCAAGTATAAAAGAAACTGCATTAAAAAATCTGGGACATCTACACAGTAGGAGTTTTAGTTTCATAATCAGTCTAAATCAAACTAAGCAGGATAACTAGATAATTCAATTCTCAACAATCAAACAAAATAAGTCAACCAAAAACTTGTCAAAGTTCAACCTATTATTCAACAAGTTTTGCTTTGCTGTGTGCTGTAAGGCAGAAGGTTTAATTTTCAATTAATATTAAATGTACACACATTTTGAAGAGTCATCAGTAAAACAACTTATGTGAAAGTGCTAAGAAAAGAAAATAACTGATATTTCAACACAATTTTACAGAACAGACTTGGGAAAGCATATCAATCATTTTGGCAACTAAGTGGAATATATTTCCCAAAATGAGTATACTGGAAGGTATACTTAAAGAAAATTTGTCTAATACTCTGTTTAGTTGTACATGTTTACAGAAGCAACTCAAACTCTGAAGATATCTTTGTGGTTGGCTATGTCTCAATACTTTACTCTTCTTTAATTTAAAGGCTTAATATACTAGATAGAATATTACTCACCCGACCATGTTTACAGATGTAATCAAATAATTCACCTCCAGACACATATTCCATTACCATAAAAAAATCTGTTGGAGTGCTGATCACCTGGTATCTATTATGTAAATGAAAAAAAGTTGAATAAAAAATGTTATTTCTAACAAAATAAACTTAATATATCTATTTTTACTACAATTTCATATTCCAGTATTTTATAATATTTTAAAATGCAGCAAATTATATAATGTTATCAGAATAATCAGCATCATAAACTCAGAGCACTACACAAGCAGTCTACTTCCTGAGGCCCACAGACTCCCCTTCAGAGTCTCCTTGCATGTTCACACGATCTTTAAAATCCTCCATTCCTCAACAATGTTGAGGAATTAATGTTGAGCATTAATTTTCAGGTAAGCAAAAATCTGTTTACAGTCAACAGAGATAATATATAATGCATTTAAACATAAACAAGAAAATACTTGGATATAGAAAAGTATATTGCAGAGATACAGTGAAAAAAATCAGAAAGGGAATAAAATCATCCTTTCTTCAACAAATAAAAATTCAATGCAATAAACAGAGGAAAGGGGAACTTATTAAAAGTAATCCAAGAAACATATTGACCAAATATATTGTCTAGACTCAAATTACTTATCAAACAATCAAGAAAGCCAGAATACTGACTGGAAGGTTAAGATTGCTAACTGCTTTCTTAGATGTGATAATAATTATTTATTTAAAATTTGATACTGAACAGTTTACACATTAAATATAAAATGCTTGGGACCTGTCTCAAAATAATATGGTCTGGAGGAAGCAGATAAACAGCACACTTACTACTGCAGAAGACAAATGAAGAGTTACATAAGCTCATCACTTTACTTTTGGATATGCTTAAAAATTTCCATAATAAAAAACTCAATATATAAATGTGAATGGATGCACACATGTGTGCGTGTATATATTTCTAGGCACTCAAAATAGGGGATATTAACAATAAAGAAACTTTATTTGCAAAAGAACTAAACAGACACTTATCAAAAGAAGAAATACAATTGGTTAACAAATACATGAAAAAATGTTCAATATCTCTAGCAATCAAGGAAATACAAATCAAAACTATACTGAAATTTCATCTCACTCTAGTTAGCACTGCAATTATTAAGAATACAAATAATAATAAGTACTGGAGAGGATGTGGGGGGAAAGGTATACTCATACACTATTCSTTGTTAGTGGGTCTGCAAATTAGTGCAACCACTCAAAACACTACAAATTAAACCACCATATGACCCAGCTATCCCACTCCTCAGTATATATTCAAAAGCTCTAAAATCAGATTACTACAGGAATACAGCCACATTGATATTTATAGCAGCACAATTCACAATAGCCAAGCTATGGAACCAACTCAGATGCCCTTCAACAGATCAATGGATAAAGAAAATATGGTATACACAATGGAGTATTACTCAGTCATAAAGAAAAATGAAATTATGTCATTTTCTGGTAAACGAATGGAACTGGAGACTATCATGCTAAGTGAAATAAACCAGACTCGGAAAGCCAAAGGTTGAATGGTTTCTCTAATATGTCAAAGCTAGTCCAAAATAAGGGAGAAAGAGAGAGGAAGGGAAGAGTGGGTGGATTCCATCAAAATAGAAGAAACATTGGTGAACTAGATGAAGGGGACTGAGGGGAAGAGAAGGAGAAATAAGTGTCTAGATAAGAACAGAACAGTGGAATAAGCCTGACCTAATATTCCTATGTAAATACAGGAACATACCATAGTGTTGTCTCACCTTATGTATCTCCACAAGACACTAAATACAAAGAAAAAGAACTAACAGTAAACAGCAGAAAGAACAAGGGTGAGGAAGGTGGGGAGGGAAAGGGGAGTACTGGGAACTGAATTGAAGCAAATTATATTTCATGCTCTTTGGTCAAAAGGAATCCTAACGTTATATATAACAAAATACACAAAAGGACACAAAAACCTAAATGAGACAGAAAACCAAATCTGAGCATGCCAGAAAATATTCAAAATGAATTTGAGAGTAGGCATGAGAAAGAAGATTATATGACTGTACCTATGGAGAATCGCTTGGAATCGCTCAAGCCTAATATGACACAGTCAATTTTTTGTAAATAAATTCTTAATATTTATCTCCCCATAAAACATACCAATTCTCTGTTAAAAATAGTAGTCTTTCAAATACCTGGTTTTACCATAAGAATAAACATGCATTATTGTCTGAAAAATAATAAGACTCGTGATTGATAAATAAACATACATAAACCCATCACCCAGACAAAAAGGCAGAACCCTGACAATATAGGCCCTCTAACCATACAGAGAGTTGCCATCTGCAAGGTGATTTCTCCTCACCCAAAGAAGCCATCATCCTGAAGCCCTGCTCATCCTGACTTTGCTTTCGCTCGCTCGCTCTCTCTCTCTCTCTCTCTCTCTCAGAATTGAACCCAAGAGTACTTTACCACTGAGCTACATTCCCAGAGCCCTGTCCCCTATTTTTTTTTAAGAGAGAGAGAGAGGAGAATTCTTAATATTTATTTTTTAGTTTTCAGCGGACACAACATCTTTGTTTGTATGTGGTGCTGAGGATCGAATCTGGGCCGCATGCATGCTAGGCGAGCGCGCTACTGCTTGAGCCTCATCCCCAGCCCCTGACTATTTTATTTTGAGACAGGGTCTCACTAAATTGCTGAGATTCTCAGCTAAATTGCCCAGGCTGGCCTCAAACTTGCAATCCTCCTGACTCAGCCTCCCAAGTCACTAAGATTACAGGCATGCTCCATTGCACAAGCTTGCTTTCTCTTTCAAAGATAAATGTACCAATATGTATGTTCCTTTTCTCTCTGCATAAATATATTCCATATGCTTATGAACAATTCATATTCATGTTTTTATTTTAATTGTTCTTTGGCTTAAAAGGAGTACACCATATGTAATATTTGGCAATTTACTTTACTGAATTTCATCTATATTATTTGCTAGAGTTATCAGATTTGACCATTGTACATTACCTTGTATTTATTCACTTACTGGTCTGTTACTATCCTATTTATTCATCTTTTACCACTAAATAGTATTTACATTATTTCCACAATTCTATTATTTGCTTCTTGTACAGGGAAGGATTTTCTATTTGGTATATACTGGTGAGTGGAACTAAATCACAGTGCATATAAATGTTCCATTTTAGGACATGATGTCAACTGTTTTCTAGCAAAAGATTAGCAATGCTACAATCTCTAGAAAGATTTATATAACCTCCAACGCTTACAAAAATACCATAAGCATCTCTTCTTATGCAGTGCTTTCTTGTGTCTTCTGCCCATTTTTATTAGGTTCATGGTGCTTTACTTATTTATTTATTTAYTTATTTTAAAGAGAGAGAGAGAGAATTTTTTTTTAATATTTATTTTTCGGCGGACACAACATCTTTGTATGTGGTGCTGAGGATCGAACCCGGGCCGCACGAATACCAGGCRAGCGCGCTACCGCTTGAGCCACATCCCCAGCCCCGTTTACTTATTTATGTATGAAAGAATAAATTAATATTTCTATGAAAGTCTTGAGTATAAGATGTCCTGGTTACTAACTTTATAAAAGTATTTTTTTCATGAATTTGGCTTTTGTTTTTCTCTGTAAGTGGGTCTGCAAGTATCTCTAAAGGATGACTTTTTCAAATGTGTGCATGTACACAAGCACACGTGTACGCACAATATGCAATACTGTTACCAGGCATAAATTCAGAAAATCATGAGTGTCATCCAACATCCAATCAGAAGTCTTGATTAGCTTATAACGCTTTCACAGTTTTTTTTTAATTGGGATCCAAATATAATCCATACATTGCAATTGGTTAAAAAGTCTCTTAATTTATAGTTTGATCCTCCATCTGGGTTTTTTTTTTTCCTTACAGAAGAAAACACTTGGTTAGTCCTACAGAGGAATGCATAGTCTCAATTTTGCAGATCCATCCTTTCAGCCACATAATGCACAATTTCTAACTGTCTCCTAGATCTAGAGACCTGCTCAGAGTGGATTCATTTGCTTTAATTTCAAAGACTAGACCTCTAGCCAAAGACATAAAATATGTCTCTCTGAGATATCAGCACTCACTACTTATCAGAGATTTTTTTCATTAATTCAGATCAATTTAATAAAATATTAAACTTGCAGAGTCCAGTAATAAACTACAATCTAAAGGAAACCCTCACTCAAAACCTCCTCCCTCAAGAACTCCCCTGTGTCTGAAGCGTAGGCCACCCTACAGCGTCACATGATGCTGCCCACCATGCTACAGTCTCAACCCATCTCCTTGATAATTCATTCTGACCTACTGTCTCCCCCCCCCCATCCCTGCTACTGTTATCAACATTTGGGATGTAAATAATATTTTTTTTTAGGAGAGAGAGAGAGAGAGAGAATGAGAATACATATCTTTTTTTTTTAAGGTGTAGATGGACACAACACAATGCCTTTATTTTTAAGTGGTGCTGAGAATCGAACCCCTGGGTCCCACCCGTGCAAGTGAGCCGTMTATCGCTGAGCCACAATCCCAGCCCTGTACATAACATTCATATAGAAGATCTGTCTCACAGATGGCCTCTCTGTTCCTTGACTTCTATTATGTTTTCGATATGAGGTGACCTCCAAAGGCTCACAAGTGAGACAATGTAAGAAAGTTCAGAGATGAAGAGTTATGAGGGCCTTAACCTAATCAGTGCATTAATCCACTGGAATGAATTAACTGGTGATAACTATAGGCAGGGAGGGTGGGGCTGGAGGAGGTAGGTCACTGGAGGTGTGCCTTTAGGGTTTACATTTTGTCCCTGGTGAGCAGGGCTTGATCTCAGCTTCCTGTTTGCCAGGTCTTGAGCTTCCACCCTGATGTTCTGCCTCACCTCCAGGCCCAGAGCATCAGAGTAACCTTTCTACAGACTGAGACCTCTGAAGGCGTGAGCCTAATAAACTTTTCCTTCTCTAAAATTGCTCTTTTCAGGTCTTTTGTTCACAACAATGAAAAAGCTGACTAAACAACCTCCTCTTTTCTAATTGCTTTCATTCCAGAATACACAGCTAGTATC